AAATCCCCCGCCCCGCCTCAGCGATAAATTCCCTAGCTGCCAAAACAAAGTCAAAATGCTGCGTTTGTTCACAGTCTCGAAAGAAGTCTTAAAAATTGATGATTTATTCTGTCAAACTCTGGATTCTGAGTTATTAAAGTCCAAAACACTGCTACAGTTATGTCGTGATCACGAATTACTTTCACATTACATATAAATGCATCTTTTATTTAAAAGTAGGGAGAGAAAATTGCGACCAACAAAACTTTTGGTTATGCCAAAACGGATTACATGTAAAGCATTGGCCAGCACATCATGTTTCCTTACGCTTGAGGCAGAAGCTAATTTATATCGATTTTCAATTTTCTGCTAAAACGCTGGCTTTTCAAGACAATTTTTTACAATTCCAAATCTTTTTATCTTTTATTTGATATGTTTTTAAGGAAAGCATGTTATTAAGAATTTAATTTATGAAAATTGGAACTTTGATAGTTTTAATTAGTTTCCACTAAAAAAAATGCAATGGAACAAACTATATTCAAAATTGGCGGCACAATATGCTTATTTGCATCACTGTGCTCATTCAAAGACAATTATTCGTGATTAAAAGTCGCAGATGATGCTATAACTTCAACGCAAAATTTGCTGGACTGTGCGTTTATTAACGACTATGAATTTTAAAGATAAATGATTTGCTACGCGTGCTGTTATCGAATTGGAGTAGGTAAACACGCTCTCTCGAATTCTTCCACTGCCCTTAATGTTCATCTACATAAAAAGGAAAAAATCCTTTAACAGCAGGGAATTTTTGACGGATTATTCCCACGCACCTAAGCGATTCGTTTACTTACGCACCAGCCTCTGAGACGTTATAATTTGAAGAAGTTGCATCAGTAAATTTTGCACATGTTTAGCAAACTAAAGGAATTAATGACGTAACCTCTTTAAAAGGTGTGTCATTTCCGCCTATTAAGTTTCACTTTCGTTTCTTGTTACCTATCGAACATTTTATCCATTAGCACACGCTGCTCTGAAGATTGGGCGTCCACTTCCTACGTCATCAACAACCGAATAAATTACATTATCATCCAACTGCATTGGGTAGCGATATTGTAAGGTTATCTTGACAGTTGGTTACTTTGTGTTATAAAAATACCTTTTTAACCAGTCGGCTGGGCGCGCTACGCTTCCCTATCAGCTTTCCTTTCTTCGCCTTATGAGAAATGAACAGAAAGACTTGGCAGAAAAAAAGCAGTTGGATAATAAATAACTTATTTGACATTTTGGTGTGTAGTATCGCTGGGTATTTTTACTCGTTATTTGTATTTATATTTGTAAATATGGCACAACTCGTATAAATACTCAGCGATAGTACTCACCAAAACGTCTAATTGGATATATTTACTTTCACTTTATTGACTCATTCTACGCTTGAATACGATTATTGGATGCTAATAAAACCAAGAATATTTTAATTCAAGTATAAAAAAGAGTCAGATACCTACATTCGTAGCAAATTTTTAATAGCACATTGTAGTTGGAAATTTAAAAAAAATGCTCGTAACTGTTCACACGAGAACAGATAACATGTGAAACTAACAACGTGTTTTAATTTACCTTTTATCTTTTGCTCTAAGGGTTATTTTCGTTTGATAAATTAGAATATATATTACTATAAATTTTTTTTTTTTTAGGGATCACATTTTACATTACGATTTAGCTTTTGACACAGTCGTAAGCCACTGCTTGAATCTTGCCATTTGAGAAAGTTACAAACCTTACTTTCTCTTTACAATCCTTTTTGCAATGTGGTATCTCAAAGACATAATTATAAATTAGACGATGATCAAATTTCTTTATACACTGATTGTCTTTCGTACTCTTTGGAAACCTTCTCTTGAACTGTTCAGCGATAACATGTTCTCCTTGGGTCGCTGAAGTTAAGTATGCAGTTTTCTCTGATTTTGCGCCGTGAACCATACGCCGATCTTGACTCGTATTGACGGTACTTTTCCCTGAAGAGTTTATCATCCCATGGAATAGAGATACTGATGAAATCCTAGGTCTTGCTTGCACTTGTATGCTAGAGTTCATCATTAATACGCACAGAGCCATGGATAGTAACTGAACAAATGTTTGAGGAACAAAATTAGTTAAATAAATCAATAATTCTTCTAGTTTCAAATAAACGTTTTAATTCTGTTTTCGGCAAACTGAAAGATGTAGGAATTGAAAAATTGATCACGTGATGGACCAGTCGAGAAAATAACCAAAAGACAATTTGTGCTGAGAGATAGCTCATCAGAAAGTAAAATTTCAATTCAATTGAAGTGGTCAAAAAAAAAGCAAAACGCACAGGACGAAATTGCAAGAATCCGTAAACGGAAACGTGGCAGAAACATGTTAAACCGTTCTGGAAACACGACGGATAACCTGTGTTTCCGTTACCGGCTTCGTGACGTTTTCTCGCGTTCCCGTTTGCATGTTAAACATAACGGAAACATGGAGTTGCATGTTTTCGCCACGTTTCAGAAATACGGAAACATGTGATTTCGTCCTGTGACGAAAACAGAAATATGTTTATCTTATTAGACGTTTCGGTGTGTAGTGTCGCTCAGTATTTTTACGAGTTGTGCTGCATCATTTTGACGAGCCCGTAGAACGAGTCAAAATACAAACAACGAGTCAAAATACAAACAACGAGTCAAAATACTCAGTGATGCTACACACCAAAACGTCTAATAATCTATTTATTATCCAACTGCCTTTTTTTCTGCCAAGGTGGGAAAAGCAAAGCGGATAGAGAAGCGTTGTACGCGCAGCCGATAAGTTAAACAGGTTTTTTTTTACTTTACATAGTAACTAACTGTCCAAATAACCGTACAATATCGCAGGATATTTGTACTCTTTTCGCGCGTTATTTGTACTCTACTTTGTGGAGTTGGATAATAAATATATACATTTATTTTTGTCGTAACGGTATTTATTTTAACGAGTATTTAAAAATGTCACGCTAAAACAAAACTACGCATTATTAAATTACGCATTATTAAATACGAATTTAGCCTTTACCTGAATTATCACCGAGGCAGACATGTTCATCTCTTCTTTGTTCGACCGCGCTGAAGACTTCTGAATTGACTCAGTTTACTCAGTTTTGGGTCAGTTCTTAAATAGTCCTTTAAATGATTTCGACAACTAAAAATACTTTAAACCGTTTAAGTGACGTTTCTATTCATTTTAGGACGCTCCTGTGAGTCAGTTCCGCGTGACTGGGCATCAAAGGGAGGCTTAAATCAGCAGTTACGTCTAATTTTCCTTAAAGTAGCCTTGATCAAAAGAGAGAGAAAAAATTCCCCTTAATTTCTTATGTTAAGTTAAATCACGCCATAATTTTCCGTATCGTACTTTTCCTCAAAATTTTCTTATAAAAATTGTTCAAAATATTCATCCTCTTTTCTTTTATGCTAAGGAAAATAATGAACCAGAACTTAATAAAAGAAAATTGAAAATACTACTATTCTACGATGCTTTCAACCACTAAACCATTTTCAGTGAACAAGTTATGTAAAAAATGTGTTTATTTGGTTCTTTTATATGATCGTCCTGAACTATTATAAGTTTTGTAGAATTGGCACTTTCCCATAGGGATTTTTCTTACGAAATTTTTCTTTATATTTGCAACTTCGATCAGGTTGTCTCCCTAAAAATTCTGCATTTTGTGTCATATAAGAAACTATGATACGTATGAACTGTTTAATTCCTCATGAATGGAACAAATCCAAACTTCAGAAACTGTCAGTAAAACTAGATAACATTCTGTGCTGTCGTTTCGTAACACTCCAAAAATAAACTCAAAAGTTTATTATGCCTACACAATGACGCATTTGAAGTCTGCTTTCATGTTGGAAGGAAATCGAAAGTAATTTACCGAGGGAAAGTTTGTCTTTTGAATTTATAAGATGAGGCAATACTCCCTCTACCTTGTCTTATTCTTTCATTTTTTTGAACCAAAACATTTTTATGCACTTTGCATTACTTACTTGAGTGAAGGATACTTAGTTTGATTAATGGATTTTCTAGTCTCATTGTACACTATTTTGTAATTGTGTTATTGCACGATTTGCCTGGCAAGTCAAGTGTGACTGAATTACCATGCATCGTATATTTTCCGTATTTAAATCGCTGTTTTTCACAGTGGGAATACTGATCAATTGACTTCGTTTTCGTGGATGTTGAAAGTATTTTTTCAGCCGAAAATGTCCATAATGGAGAACAAATATTAGCCTGTAGTACCAATTATAAAGGCAGGTTGGCGGACACGGCTTCATAGTTCTTTTATACAAATTTACACGCGCCAAAATTATTCATCAAGGTTCCTAAACTACGCACGAGTGATTTACACACAAAAAAGCCTGAGGAGGCTTTTGTCTAAAAACGTTTGATCTGTAACAGACAGTAGACACAGCTGAGTCGAAATAGTAACGGAAGAACATGCCCTATTAGTTACGTCTGTTGTAGGTACCCTGAATTATTTTACACGCGCCAAAATTATTCATCAAGGTTCCTAAACTACGCACGAGTGATTTACACACAAAAAAGCCTGAGGAGGCTTTTGTCTAAAAACGTTTGATCTGTAACAGGCAGTAGACACAGCTGAGTCGAAATAGTAACGGAAGAACATGCCCTATTAGTTACATCTGTTGTAGGAACCCTGAATTATTTTAACTGTTTTGGAAATGCCTATTAATAGAGGTCTGGACGCGTGAACGCTTCTGAATTATGCCTCGGATGACGACAGGTACACTGATTGAGGTTTCACGCTCCAATGTCCAACCATAATCTTCGCTTGTGGAGCAATTCTCTTTCAGTACTATTCCATTTTAAAAGGGAAAAAAAATTATTGGATGAGGAACTGTGAAATTATTTGAAAGTGTTTTTAAATCTACTTGCATAAACCAACCCAACTTTTTTCACCATATCTCATTTGACAATGATATCAGGACGAAGTAAAAATTTCTGTGCGTTTTTAAAATGTGCTTTATTCTCAAATTTAGCTTTACTTGACAAAATGCAAAAGTGTTCTTGCCATAATTTAATATGCCCAGCTTCTACCGCCGCCAAATAAACCGCTGTGACGAATGCATGCTGAGCGCTTGCCCTGAAGCACTTTCCATCCACTTGAACAATTAATCCTGAGGTAACAAACCTTTGATAGCGTGGTTTATATGAAAGCCCTTTACATGAAGTACTTTTGAAACGTAACCGCTGGCAAAAACATTATGGAGCAAGTCTACATGTTCTGGCAAGTATTCTGCTTATGATAAATCTCACCGAGTTTTTACAATTAATATCTAGGTGCCTCAAATCTACAGGGATCGTCGCCATGGTATTGTTCGTTTTAAGGTGTTCTTCTCTGAGGACAAGAATTATTCTTCCTGTTCGCTCTAATGTACTGTTTACCATTTTTACTCCAATCAACTGCTGTCGAGAAATTGTCCAAGTACAACAGGCGTCTTCGCTTGTCTTCCTTCCCCAGGATCAAATACACTTTGTTGACCTTCAGATTACTGCAGCTGCAGGTTATTTCCATTCCTCTCTTGTCCAATAACTGATGTCTGTTGTTGATCTTGACTCTCCCTTGTTTGTACATGCGCAGTATGCGGACTCGTAAACGAGGCAAGCCATTTTTCATAATCTCGGATTCCATTCGGGCTTTGATCACTGACAAGTAAACACAAATGAAAGAGATTGTTATTAGCGTACGCACAGATTGGGTCCGTATTGATTATTTATTTTCTCATCATCAAGTTGCATTTTGCATAACGACTCGTATTCGTATTGAGTTAGTACTAAACACCAGGTTGAAGTCCACAGATAGAGTTCTTCATTTACTTTGCCGAGGTCACTGATATGTGAGAAATAGCTTATGTGTTTAAAAGCGATTCTTGTAGAACACAAATATCTTACCATAGGGTACACAAATGCTAAAAGACTCTTAGACAATACTTCACGCGTGATTCATATCAAACTATTGCATCGATCAATCAACATTCCTCCGGGCAGATCTCCCGAATATCTGAACTTTTGAAGATTTGCTTGTTCAAATTCACTTCCCCGGAAAAAATTGTTTTCAAGTGCCTCACCCGAGTGCCGGATATGATGGTAAGTTTTTTTGTTTTCTTATTTTTGTGAAAGGAAAAATCAGCTACCGTGACTTTTTACACATTGACCGAGCTTTAAAACAGACCTTGTAGATCTTTTCTTCTGAACAATTTGCTCGCAAAGCGAACTGTCTACCTTTAAACACCTCCATATCTGAAGATATAACACTTGTATCCCGCTGTAAACACATGAAACTTCCGATTCAAATTCCCCACCCCAGTCAAAAAAGGTTCAAATCACCCATCCCCGGGCACGGACGACGGTCAAATCCCCGTCGGTTGTCTGTGAGGGATATTGAAGCTTCAAATTGAATGGTGCATAAGAAGCATGAAGAAAATACTACAGAGTCTGATCAGCTTTCATAAAAGGTGATTTAACCCCAAGTAGCAATGACGTAACTCACCAAAATCACTCAAACAGAACCTTCTCATGACATGTCTCCTATTGCACCTTTTATTGCAAATCTTTGGAGGAGGAAGTGGTGAGCCTCCTTGTTCTGAGGAATTCCACCCCGTGTTGGTCCATTTGTGTTTGTCTAGAAAAAATATGGGACTACAGACATTAAACTGATAATTCCACACGCTGTTACTTAAATGACATGCGCTTGATATGTATACCTATCTCGAAGGGTTCCCTTTCGTTGGAAAAAGTTCATTAGGACTACATGTTTATCCTCCTTGAAGTTCTGCACTCTGAAATATCTCGATTCAGGTCCTTCCTCTATCCAGAATCTTCATGAAGTGACTCAGTAATACACTAATTTCTTTTTTCAAAACCTTCACTTCCCTCTCTCATCATTGTTTCCTTTATGCGTAGTTTTTTCACTCATTTCTTTTTTTCCTTTGCGTACTTACCAGCCACGCAGTTGCGCCTCAAAGTGAGGCTCAGAGGACCCCATATCTGGCTTCCGGTCACTTCAGCAAAGCTGATGTTAATGGTTAGCAGGGCCTCTCCTGTTACCTTCCCGGTGCACGGGAATTTCACCCGGAAAACTGCGGAAGAAAAGGATTACGCTCAATGGCTGACTAAGTTCTGTGCCCACAAAAGAACCAGATCTGTAATCAGACCCTCTTCAGTAAAGAGTAAGACATAACGTGTTGAGGAAAAGGGCCGTTGCGAAGCTAATATCTATGATGCAGATAGCGTTGTAAATGGATTAAATTTATTTCAGATCTTCCTCTTTTTCATAAAACCTTTTAAATCCTTAATCTCGTTTAACTGTGGTCTGGGTTATGTCGTTTCTTAATACTACACGAAAATTCACTTAACAACCGAATCATCCTATCTTCCTATGTTCCGGAGAATATTTTTTAGTAAGCCTTTTTATTCAAGGTTAATGCGATGTGCGGCCCTGCATAGACATGAATAATCAATAGACTCTTGACCTTGCAGATTTGGTGAACTGTTATTTAAAGGACATGTATCAAGGAGATTTTGACCCTCCGTGCTTGAAGACCCAGGAGAGATATCACCGGTTTTTTGGAAACATAATCTGAAAGGAAATAGCATCAAGAATTCCTCTGTGTCCAAGTCAAAATAAAGTAAAACTAATGGATTTTAACCCATCGCAGGATTTTAGAGTGGAAATTGACCATCAATGTGTAAAATGGAATACTCATATTAATAATTTGCTAAGGTTGTTAATCAGAGGATTAACGTCGATTATACCAGAAAAAGTGAATCCTCTTAATCTGTCATCCGGTGCCAAAGTCAAAGTTTGGGATGTTTCAGGTCAGTGGGCTAATAATATCAAAACATTCTCTAATTTGTGTAATTGATATAAATAATCTGCTTTCTTATGCTCATAAAACCATACAACATGACTAACCAACTTTCTGTGCCCCAATGAAAAGATATATGTAATAATGATGATATTCATGAAACGTGGTCAACCTGAATTTTTCTTTTAAAATTCTCTACGTTTTCTTTCCTCAATGTTTCGTACCAAGGGGGTCACTTTTTTTCCTCTTACACCATTCTCGTGCTTTCAATTGACCAATAGAGCTTAAAAGACGGAGGTAGTCTCCTTGCGACATAAATTCCCTTTATGTGACCCTTACCCAGGTTATGAAACGCTTGAGGATAGAAATTATATGAATCTTTACGGAGTTAGGTCTCGTGCCCTCAGTCACCTGCATCGAAGGGTAAAAATAAAACCAACGTACAAGAACAAGAACAGCCTAACAATGCCTTTCTCTCCCCTCCCTCTTTAGAAACATCAAAGTAATAATGAAGCATCAGAATGGTAAAAACTTTAAACTCGCCTATATGGCATTATTGTCATAAACGACGACAGGGAGGACGCCGTCGACAAGTTTTGGTCAGGATGGGAGAAGTTATCTTTGCAATTGTTGACGATCACGAGACATTGATTAAAAGATCAGCCTAATAACCAACCTAGCCTCGTTTCCAGACCTTTAACGGCCAAGCGGTTCAGTTACAGTTACACGGTAGGATCTGGGCACGAAATTATAACCACCTTACGACGAGGCTTTACATGAATGAGACTTACAGCTCAAGTGGCGAAGCTTGCGAGATTCGACCTGGTGAACAAAGCGAGCATGCAAGATGTCTATGAAGGGTCTGGCGTGCCAGAACCCCTACACGCCTTTCTCAGACCAGTCTCCCGCGTTTGCATTCGGTCGCTGCCTCGAAACCCCAAGGGCTTGCGCCAGTGGTGCAACGCCAACGAGAGCTTGCTCTTAGCCGAATGAATAACATAGTTTGCCTGGCGAGTAAAAGGCGCTCTTTATTTGTTAAAGAAATTAAGAGAATCGATTTGCTTCTTTTTGTAGACAGGATGACAAAATTATGCTTAACTGCGAAACCAGAAGAACAAATAAAACAATTAAAAGAAGATTCATGTCCAACGTTATGGCAGGTAATATTTTTCTTTGACTTTTCCTCGTTATTTTATAGCAAATTCGCTTTAATTTTTTATCTTCTTCATCGTTATTTCTATTACTATCTTTATAAATATCTTTTTTTTTTCATCGTGAGACAAGATACTTGAAACCGGAAATGAATCCATAACATATATATAATAAAATGTAGCATAGAGGCTTATTGAAACTCGATCAAAATTGTTCCATATTCTACCAAGAGAGTATAAAATGCCCGCTTAGCTCTACACAATTAAACGGAAACCTTTATTCATAACATCGTTAACACCCTGCAAAGATGTTTTGCTCATCAGTTTTACCAAATTAACTCGGAGCAGGGTTTTGAGATAAGAAATTGAGATAACACATGCATTGGATTTAATCTAAATATAACAAGATGTCCGCAATTAAATCGTATCCTTTTCTTGAACAATTTACCGTGTTGCTTACTACGTAATGGTTTTTCACTGGAATTGTTTCCTTCTTAGAAAATTGATCCATTGCGGGAGTCTCTTACCTCAGATTAAGGATCACATAAGTCGTGAGTAGTTCCAAACAAATCGCATGTTTATCAAACAGCTACCTTCACCCCCTCATAACAAAAATGACATTCATTCCTCAACCGATGGAAGCCCAAAACCATGTTCTAAGCCCCTGTAAACATTTCTCGACTCAAAAGACCATCTAAAATTAGCCCAAGACTCTCAAATGCTATTACTCTACTCAGACTTGATTGGCAGATGACCAAATCTATTATTTCGTAAGCGGATCGGTAAACAGCTGACGACGAAAACAACGATTGTGATATTTTGAGAAACGTTTTCGACCGTTACAACTCAAATTAAAAGATATTGAGAAATGTGACTCAAACTTATGAAATCAAGGAAACATGGCGGTTACTCAATCAGACGACATCATCTTATGTAAAAGATATAAAGTAATGTAAATTCAACCAAAAATCAGCATCTTTCAAATTTTTTTTCTTATTAATTTTTATGAGATTTTTTCATCTCATAAATTTTATTCACATGGATATGGAGTGACATAATCCATATCACATCGGTGAAATAATGGTATTATATACTTGCAAGCTTGGATTAACACCCAGATAGAATTTACCAGATTCCTTTTTAACTTTTCGCATAATGAAAGCTCATTTTGTACGTTGATGACTGTGTTGATTTATCGGCAGCCACCAAAAATTCCCTTCAAGCTCCCCTAGAGAGTTCGATGATTTCCAGTTGCAAATCTTCACTGAGTTTAGTAGCCAACTGTCTCAAATAGTGTTATATGCAACAGTATCTCGTTTCTTTTTTTGTCTTAACTCAAGCGGAAAAGTGAAAGTATTCTGTCTCAACAGGCTCCATCATGCACTCACCCCCACCCTTTACGAGAAGAGGTTTCGAACTGTAGGCGTATATCTTTGAAGCAAATCACTGAAATTCTTACCTTTGGTTTTTCTGGGTACGAGTCCCGTCAAACGGATGTTAGTCGTGGGATGCCTCATGATGGTTTCGTTGCTCGATTTGAAGTTCAAGGAATACTGAACCTGGAAAAATAAGGTTTTTCGTGTCATACCACCAACAGTTGCTGAACACTTTGCGAGGACGAGTTACTAAAAGCTACTAAAACACAACAAATTAATTCTCGGCTGAAGGGGAACGAACTAAATATAGTGAATTTCATCTAGTACATGAGAGAGTGAGAGCATAATCGTAACTTTAAGGGGCTGCCTACCTGTTAAGAAGGAAAATTAATTTCTTTTATAGTAACGTATATATAGAAATTGGAAATTTGCAGCCATTCTCCGTACAAACATAGAACTAATTCGCCAACCCGAGCTTTTTTCCTGCCGTAAACTTCTGCCTAACTACATTTTAAGAGTCTTGCCTTTCCTTAGAACTTTTACTTACCAATTCAGAGACCAACGAATTTTATCATCGCCATGGAAAATTTCCAGAAACATTTTGATACAGGTCGTCAAATTTTACAATCACTGATCTCATTTTTAACCGATAATTGCTTAACAGCGTCACCAATCTCATTATTTCGTTGATTTACGATTTCAGTTGTTCTCGTCTCGTTATGGTTGGCTGGGCGTGGGAAAATTTTCATTTCTTGAGTTATTTTTGCCTGTCAGATAAGGGGTCAAAAAAAAAAAGAAAAAAAAAGGATTGTGATAAACTTTCACGACTGGGACGAAATAAATACAAAGCTTCTTCTATGCCTCGTTTGCTTTTCTTTGTAATCAAAACGTGTCGAGTTCCATATGGAAACAATTTTTACGTGAGATCATTTCCCTTTTAATTGCGATTCATTTTATTTTTCATTAATGCAAGAAGCTACAGTTGTCCAGGTCTCTCGAATTTTAGTTTACATCACTTCTTTTATGATGAATTTAGGTAAATTCCAGTTTATATAGTCTCCTTAAGCGTAAACTTTATCTTAACTGAATAAAGCAATTTGAATGATTACCGTAAGAGATACAGAAATTGAAGTACGAGGGAAGATAGTTTTGTTTCTTCGGTATCCACAATCTTTCTCAGTTCTATCCACTCAGGCGTAAAAGTGAAAGTGTTGTGCTTTTTTACCTTTTTAGTGCCATTGAACCGAAATTTGAGGTCTTTGATTCTGTGGTCAATTGGAGGAATCATGCTTGACAATATCGGTGTCTTCAGCACGGGGGCCACAATACCATCTCGGACGAGGTACAAGTTTGTTTTTAAATCTAATGGCATAGAAAGTAAACATTAGACTCTCTAAGTACCAGAGTTATCTTTTCATGGAAATTAGTTCATGCCAGCTTTAAGGCTTTACAATCGCAATTGAAGAAATTTGAAGAAATCGTCGACTGAGAAGGGCACTGTTTTAAGAAGGAAATGAATAGTGATGCGTGTCTCAACTGATGGAAATAAGTAAGGTGAAATTTCTAAATCTAATTCTAAATATTATGTGTCGTGCCTTTCATTTAAAATGATATGACAAAATCAATGACAGGATTTCGTGCCTGACACCGCCCCCAAACCTCCTCCCCTTCCCTTTCTCGGAGGTAAAAATGATGTTAATTTAGATGGATGGCTGTTTCGGTTGTGCTAATATCTTGATACCTTTACATTCTGAAAAAAAAAAAAAAAAAAAAGAAGCTTATCATAGGATATCGTTTTACGATCGTCGGGAATCGTTTCATTAAACACAGGGAAAGCCATTCCGCAAGTTTTTATCTTCATTAATAAGCTTTAAAAGTACGCCATTTTGATTGATAACAATTCACTAATGAGAGTCAATACTAGTTTGAAACCAAGGGGTGTTTACATGTAAGCTATACTGTCATGTCTCTTGGCGTAATACGCAGTGTTATTCATCACAGCATGTCTTCGAAACAGTTAAGCAAGTAAACAAAAATGAATCTGCTAGCTACAAATAGGCTTCAAATGTTAATTACTGCGTAGTCTGTAGTTAAAATAACAAGCTACGGGATGAGTTACTGCATTAGGTTCCAAACGTCTTTTTTATTGTTTATGATAAAGTTACTACGGGAAATCCTACGCAAAATCGTTGGTTTGCCAGTTAACTTAAACGTTAAAAAAAAGCCCAAAGCACATGGACGCCAAATCATCAAAAAGAGGGCAAGTTTTCAGTAATAAGACGTGGCTTTTTGTAAAATTATTTCTCGCGTTAGATTTCTCTCTTTTCCTTTGGAATGGAATTGAAAAACATGTTAAATGTTTCTCTGACGTTTGTGCTCAAGGACACCAATATACTCTAGTTTTCACCATTCTTTTTCATGCCAGACAAAACAGGGAGGAGTCAAATAACTTTGTGGTCCAAATTACCTAATGTAATCGATGTCTCCGACGACGACACAGCATGCAAGAATAGAAAAATGCTTGTGGTATTCTTGCACAATCAGAGCCACTTTAAAAAGGTATCAATTCTTAATAGACAGCTTTAGCCCTGTTCGGGAATTATTGTCATTATTGCAGGTGACCTTATCCAAATTTTCGGAGTGCATGGAAGAGTTGTTTATTGAGAAAGAATGCTGAAAACTGTCCTTATGCACTGTTTATCCGGATGTCTCTGACTGCACGATTAAGCCGTGGAACGAAAATAACCCTGAGATACGAAAAGGCGATAAAAGACCTCATGTTGCTCTGAAGAGCTGACGAAAGTTGTAGATTGCACTCAAAGTGATGGCTTTCATCTAAACTGATAAAACCAACAATAGAGAACGCATGACGCCATCTTCATGGGAGACACTGGGATGGCCGTTCCTATATTGAATATTTTCTATGAAAAGTCTTGATCAGTGTATTTGATCGCCATATTTCCATTCGCAAAAATGCAAAAGCTACCTAAATTTTGTCTCTGAGGTCATGAAATCAATGCCTGGACGTAAATTTTGGGATGAAAATAAACTATGTAGAAAGTGTAATTATGCAAAAGAAAGTCATACTATTTGCAAGAACTGGGATTTATTTACTTACCATAAAGAAAACGCGATACCTCTTTTGCCTCCAGGTAAACGTTCAGTTTAGCAGAGCAGTTGTAAAGGAAGGGTAAAGAAAACAAGATGAAGGCTTTGAGAAAGTGGCGTGTTTGTAGCCCGGCCATAGCACTTAGGAGGGGGGTTTGTACTCCTCTGTCTAAGCGTTCGTGATAGTTAGTTGAGCTGTTTAAATCACTGCTGTCACAGCTTTCGCTTATAAAGACAACATCGTTATTAATTACGGTAATTAAAATCTGTAAATGAAACCCAATGACAGATTGGTTAAGCTTGTCATCTAATTTAGCCTCAAAGTAAACAGTTGTTAAAGCAATATCATTAGTAGTGAATAGAGCTGACAAACTTGTAAGCTTCAACTTTCCTACGATGCACAAACGCCGCTGGCGCATATGTCATCTATGGCGTCTGACTTATTAACCGCGACGTGAGTTTATTTTGAAGATTATTTCTAAGACGATTTTCACTTTTTTGGGAAAACAATAGGGTGTAGAAGATGAACGACTGGTGGATAAACTGAAACAGGTGAAAAAGAGGGCCACAGCTGTAAAATTAAGGAAAGCAGTCGTGGACAGTTAACGTGAATTCCTTTTCGAGGCCTCTGTTATTAATTTTGATTCACTAATAGTGAATTTCCGGACCTTCTACATTCCTGCTGATCCTGGCTTTAATTCAAGCTGTTACTCTGCAGGACAAGAATTTTTAGGAACAAAAAAAAAAACAACCACAACAACAACGAGTGTTCCCGTGATGCTTTCCTTCCATCCGTTTTCGTAGTCGAGGAGAAAAACAACATTTTGTATAGATGTTGTGGGGTCATAATGGGATGTTACACTGGATGACGGAACCCTTGTCCCGTGTATTTACACTCAAAGATCATTTAAATAAATGTTATTCATGGTAAAACAAGCTGTTCACAAAAGGGAAACGCTTTCTTTTGTCACTGTAACCAGAAACGATACACGCCGATCTAGATTGTTTTCGACCTCAGTAAAAGAGGACTACTTTTAAGCTTTCCTTCTCAGAAGGTGATTTTAAGACTATCCAATTGACTTCAATATTATACGTATAGAACGATGTCGTTGTTAGCTGGTGATAAAGGCAATCTTTGTTCCATTACCAGAAACCGTTGAAGCTCACTTGCTAACAACTAGTACAGAACTCATCTACTTGGAAGGAGATAACAATTAGTAAAGAACTCGTCTACATGGCTTGAAAGAAAGATTTTCTTTACAACGCCTTTCAGTAGTCAAGTAACCCTGCCAAGTAGTGACTGATTTTTATTTTGAGAAGACAGCCGGGAGTGGCGCCAAACTTTGCATCATGTGTCAAGGTAAAGCCAGGAAAGCTTACCTTCTGTCTTAGAAAGTATCGTCAAAACAACCAAAGAAGGGTCGAAACCAATTCTAGTAGATATCTTTTACTAATACCTGTACCTGACTTGACACAGACAGGATTATTAACCACAGTGAGCCATAATACAACCATATGTTACAAAGTTTCATTTGGGTGACGAATTTCTTTTTTTATTTTGAATTATCGTGATAAAGTTCGAAAATATTAACATCCCTACATCCCTGCTGAGAATTTGAATTACTTCAAAGATATTTATGGACTTCTAAGTTGTTGCAACTGATCCGGAAATATGCTTACAACAAATCACTTTACAAATATCCCATCATATCCTCTGATAAAGTGATCAATCCTTATTTGATTAGGACATATAGTTTTAAGCGCATAGTTTTCTTCTTAGCGCACTATCATTTGACGGGACAAAACGGAAGCACAAGAATTTTAAAGGTGCTCGAGCAATGGGAGGAACCGTGGAGTGACGACTACCGATAAATTTCGTTAATGATGTTTTAACTCCTAGACAACCCTGTTACGTCCATTATAATCACTTTGGCGATTCAGTCGAGAATTTCTATCAGCGGAATTACCAGTTAAATACATTTCAATCAATCATGTTCGTCCCAAAAGGATGTTCAATATGTGACGTATCAGGTTGCAACACCAAAAAAGACAGAAAGCACCACACAAGACTGCATTGGTCACAATAAAGTATAAAGTACAGGAAGGTGAATGACCGAATCATATTCTGTTTCAGGGTAAACTGTGACCTTTACAAGTGTAGTAGTCCTAAAGGGTCTAGGTATAATAATTGCGTTGAATTTTGTTAGGAGACAAACTACAAACAGTAGATTAAACTTGATCTTTACTAATAAAAAGAAAAAGCATTTAAACTCTTGAAATCTAGCAGCATTATTCCCTCGGAACAATTTTTGTTTACGTTCATCGCATGCAATTCGCGTGCTCTCGCTGCCGGTTTCGCATCGACTACAACCAACCACATGTATTAGGACTGGAGATGTTAATATATTACAGATGTGACGGTTCATCTGATAATTCAATCATTTGCTTAGTGATCGCATGCATGGAGGTTCGCCCTTTCCTAGTTGACGGGCGTACTCTGTCGACGCTATTTACAGTACGCCAAGCTTATTGTTATGATCTCGTGAGAAGAGGATTTTCACGTATTTTACTAATTTAAAAACAAACAAGAGAAAACCATTAACCAATTAGTATTCTTAATTGTTTTTGAAATGATTCCGGAAATCTTATTTTACTCTAGAAGAAACGACCTAGTCCACTTGTAGTCTGGCTTTTTTTTCCTCTTGCTGCTTAATGCATGCATGCGCATGCTACGTATAATCAGAATTGAAGAACTTACACCTCTATTAATACCCAATTTAATTGTTTTATACGGCGCGTAAAATATTGCTGAATGTATGTATATCATATTGCACGATTGAACAGTACACCGATGCAACGTTAATTCAATCGCAAGTGTTCAAACCAGCCAGCTGATCAGACCATAATCAGGGAAAAAACCTTTTGCCCAATCCAAGGAAGGTTTTGTCTGAGCCAAACATGGTCGTACCCTCTGAAAAGCGAGGAAAAAAATGATCAGTGACCTTAAAGAACCAGACTTAACGCCTTTTGTCAACCTGTATAACAGTGAGCCAAGCGGAAGTCACGCAAAAGCGTGAGCCGAATGGGAAGTCCATCACAGCGTGACTGCCCCTTACCGCTTTACGCTTTTCTCATTTTTCCTCAAGTTAACAGAAGAGATTGTTACACAGGCTAGTGAGACAAAGAATTCCCAAGTGCTTGACTGCAGAACTTACTCTTTGGTGGTGGCTTCTCCATATACCAGTACAAGTACCCCTCTCTAGCCCTAGCATTAACTGATGTCCTCAACAGTTTGGGAGGCAAGGGTCGTGGCTTGTGGTAATCCCCTGGCAAGTTACCGTGTAGCTCTTTGACGAGAATGTCGCTGAAATTTGGCCCACCTATACGCGTTAAGGTCCCGTCAATTTCGTGTCGGAACTTGAGGAGTTTTTCTTCTGACTTCTTGTCTGGTTTAGAAAGAATTGGATCACAGTTTTCTTACCCTTAAACTAAATAATGGACTTTCATCTTTGACTTTGTGCTAATAAATCTTATGTTGTCGCTTTTTTTATACGTGAGCTAGGCGGAGCAAATTGAAATTGCACGTTGAATGATGCGACTAGGAACATTGCAAGAGATGATAAACTTATTCTCTTGGACCACTGCTACTACCTATGGATGGAGACTTGTCTATCGCAGGTTACTAACAGCATCATTTTCACCAGGTTTCCCTGACAATTTACTGGTACAAGTTTACACAACTCTACCCGGTTGTTTGAAGGTCGGACAACGCTATCCATAGGATAAACCCCTATAGCGCTGTACGTTTTGCCATCACTTATCCGCTGGGTAGCGATTTATCCGTTGGATAGCGTTATCCGCCATTTATACAACTGGACCCTGGTTGGAGAGGCACTGAAAGGGAAGTGTCCTGCCCAACTGAATCCGGAGTTCAATGGACTAGCTATCAGGCCACGTTGTCACCCTCATTTACTCAGAAAGCCCGCCTTGCAACAATTTCAATAGTTCGACGAGTCAAGAACTATTACGTAAATTGTTCATATTTACCTGGATGTTGCTCGTGCCGCATTCGATCACCGTGGAACGTCTTCACTTGTCCTCTCGTGTCTCGAATGGAAAATGTAGCAACCTAGAGAATGTAGCAGAGATAAAAAGAACTTAAAAAGTCACGCATTGATCACCCGATTGCTCTATCGCGAGGCAAGTGTTATAAGGCTGACAGTTGTAAGATGTTTTAATATCGATTCACCGTGTAGTGTGATCGTCTGGGTAAGAGTAGTCTTGAGAAGGACTGTTGGCTGTAGTAGTGACTGACGTTTTGATAACCTGAGCGGATGTCATCATAAGTGTTAAGAGGAGACTGTTTCCAGTCGAGCGTTTTGGAGTACACTTGTAAGACCTGTAAGACCTGTAAGACCTGCAAGTCCGGTATTGACCCCTAAGGTGTTTCCCAAACCGCCATGGTTGAAATTGAACATAACACTAATTTATTATTTATTATGAAAAAAGATATTTCCTATTGGCTCAAAAAGGATACAAACCCGGAAATTTGCGACGCTATGGAACTGCACTAACAAGAGACCTATTAACCCTTTCACACCCAAGATCTCAGTAGGAATTCTCCTGACTGTCTGCCATACAATTCTTGTGATGTTAGTTTGGAGAATTTGGTCTTGGATAAACTAATAATCCCCTTATTGATATCTGTACTTATTCTCATCACTTGTCTGTATGGTATTGTACTGATATTGTACTGATATTGTGCTGATATTGTCCTGATATTGTACTGATGTTGTACTGATATTGTAAGGAGAAATTCTGTTTTGATCACTAATAGGAGTTAAAAGGTTAACTCGGTTGGGACCGTTCCGGTCCCGCCGTGTTAGGCTGATAAATGATACACCTACTATGAGACCCATATAAATAAATACACAATAAATTATATATAGCCGAGAGATTTACGAAACGTGACGATTCAACATAGAAACAGTCCCAAGCCCCCAATATTTCGTTTTCTGCCGTGAGGTAATCAAATTATCAGTATCCAGCTGCTTAGAAACTTTGGCGTGACATTTCTAGAGGATTTTTCAACAGTTCAGTTCGATAGTTCGTCGATCGTTGCAAAATTACGCCGTTTTATCAAAGAGCTATGCAACCTTAATCGGTTCTACGTGAAAACTGGCAGATAAACAGACTAATAGAAACCCGAGCTTGGAAACCACCGCCATTTGCCTAACAACCGATCTTATCGTTGTGTATTACTATCGAGTTCGCGTTAAGGGAAATTAGTTAACTTTAAATAATCTTCTGCTACAATCTAATCTATATTTTTCCAGTCTACCTTATGTTTCATCTTTGCCCAGTGATCTGTGTTCCCTGCCATGAATCTGTGCCTAGCGGGTTCCTTTTGTGCCCAGTGCGACAAACTGTAAACAAACAGAAAGAGTCAGAGTCGTTTTCTCTTTTCGTTGTCCATCGTCTAATGTCACTCACTAGGGCAAGCTCCCCGTTTTATCCCGATATAATTGTATATCAGTCATGTTAAGCTTTCGTGGTTACTTGACTAAGCCGGTGACATAATAATTTTAAGGCTCCTTCGACGAGGATTTGTTCATGGCTGTCCGCGTATTGTGTTACAAGGTTAATTTGTTTTACAATAAGTTAATTGCACTGGGTGACGCAAAAATCACAATAGGTTGTTGGATTAGTGAATCATGTGACTTGAATGATAAAAAGCTCCACTGTTCCTTGGAGACGGAAGAATGTCGTGCAAGAAAAGAAAATCGTTCTTCTTCAGTCTTATTCGCAATTACTTTTCTGACTCAAGATTAAAATTATCATAAGAAATTAAGGGCATTGAAGAAAAAAAAAACTCAAGGACTCATGTATTGTCAGTGTTGACACTTCAGGAATACTTCATTACCCTCACCCGGACAAACATACTCGACAATCAATCAATTTGAGGCTTGCAGATCCTGTTTACCTCGTTGAAACGAACCTGTGAAACTCTCTTACTGTTCCATTCTTTTCTTCTGTTCCTAAATTCTTCCTGTTCATTTTTGTTTTCAGCAGAAGAAAAGTCGAACAAAACAAAATCCAAAAAAATAAACTTATAAAGTGCAACTCCTAATGGCCTTATCTGGCTTTCACTCTTAGCAAAATTGTCAGTATTTTACTCTAAGGATAAACTGTGCTGGGGGAAACTTACCAAACCGGTCATTTCGTGTGGGGGGGGCTTTAAATAATTGAGATGTGGGGGGGGGGCTTCAAATAATTGAGATGGTATGGCTAGTCTCGATTTCTAGTGACACCTTGGATTCGATAAAAAAGGTTTGATGAATTATATAAGGAAAACCAGGAGCTCGACAACAAACGATCATGCGATCTTGTCATACCCCAATAAACTTCAAGACAATCCAGCTGGGTACGGTGGCATACTTTGTCACGCAACGCCAGTTAAGTGCGACGTGAGAAATATGGCCAATGAGGGGTTCTTCCTGTGTAAGTGAATGCATCTTTTCATGTTCTCCTTGTAAACACTGCTCTCTTTTGTGATGCTTTTAAATAATTAATGCTTTTAGTCCGGGAATTCACGTTCGGTATTTTCTTTTCTCTTCGTTTAAGAAATGCGAAAACGAGGCTAATTAGTTGCCATGGTTACGTGTGGCTTCTCGCGCGGTTTGCACACAACATAAAGTCGCACTGCATTCTTCTCATAGACAGTGGCAAAAATTTCCCGAAGAAATGGAAATTACAAAGGCTACCATCGGTTCTGATCCGTGGAAAAATGCAAGTATAAGAAACATAAGACTTTCTCAGACAGTTCTCAACCGTAGCGACAAAGCATGTGAGCTGGGACAGCAGTTGGACCCCTTGCCATCGCTAAGAGACACTAGTATACAACAGAGCAATGCCAGAATACATGCCTACGTTCGGGCGACAAGGGCTGTCTTAGTGAAGCTCCGAGAAAGTTTGTTAGACACGAATGAAGAGATAAAATCTCTGTTGAGAGGGAAGGAGGATTTAGAAAAGACTCTGGAGCATATTCGTAAAGATGTTATCTTAAACACACGATCTACGATGCAACGGCAAACGAGACCGCCACGAGAAAAGGTAACATGAGGTTGTTATTGCTCTGCAATATTTTATTTTCATCCGTGCGCGTTCGCAATCATTAGTTCGAAAATCCCGTTTTGAGATACTAAGGAATGTCATACACTTAAGGAAGATTAAATTGAGCTGTATCGTGATCTGCATAAGTTCAATATATTACTCATTTCCCTAATTGATGTCCTTCTCGTCCCGTTGTTCTGTTGTAAGTAATACTTTGAGATGATTCAAAGTTGATATTCAACCTAAGTATTGCTCTCCGCTGAAAGCTGATAGCTCAACAAAGCGATGTCGTTTTCTTAATGAAATTTTTGAATAGTCAGAAAAGTTTTTGTTTCAGACACGGTCAGTTGCTAATGAGAGAAGAAAATTTCTGGATGCCCTTTCCGCTAATGATGACTGTTCAGCCATCATTAAATTTTTTTTTCAATGTGGACGGATTTTGAAAACAGAAAAATGTGTTTTCGTTCAATCAGCACATTGAGTCGACAATCAAAAGTGTTGAATCTGAAATATTTGTCTTTGTTGATGAAATGCAGCTGTAACCATGCAAAACAAATCGGTAATGATTATTTATTTACATGTTCATATACACAGAGTTGACACGAGGGTGTCACTGTAACATTTTAAGCATGAGGGGATTGTGTAAATGATACTTTTTTAAACATTTCTTGAACCCAGCAGGTGATAATACCGTGAAAAAATATATTCTGAGAGATGTCAATTGCTTTGTCACAAGGTGTTTAAAAAACATTGTTTACATTGTTGTAGTCAGTAAGATTTTTCAGAGGGATAGCTTTTATGCTGAGGTGACTACCTAAACTGGCAATAACCTAATTATAGACTCAGAAGGGTTGAGTTCTCAGCTTCTAAAAAGAAATTACACTGAATGTGTAGTTATAAGTGTACTTACAATGGAACGAACAAATGTAAATAAGTATTTGTCTTTATTAAAGTTTTTAATTTTTCTCCTTTAATATTTTTTTTTATTGGTTTTTCTAATCAAATGATGACATTTTTCTGTCATGAAAGGACCTTGATGGAGCAGATGACCTCCTTGGAGCCGAGCGTAAGCATTTACTGAAGCTTAAGCGAATTCTGGAGGCTCAGCTTCGCTCTGTTCAGAAACAGCTTCAAGTGCTTGATGGAGCAAGGAAAAGGCTCACTGCCTCCTTACAAGAGAGGTCAAGGGTACTGGACCTTATATGCCACGCTGTATCTGCAGTCCGTGGTGCTGGCATTAAGGATCAAGCAGAGAAGCCTGTCACACCACCTGTGGAACCACTGGGTCCTTACACTCCTGAATGTGCAAGGGTGATTTCAACAGCGGCAGAGGCACGGCAGAGATCTACTAATTTGCGTAAGGAAGTTGCGGAAGCCATTGAACAGACAGTTAAGCTACAGAAGGCAGCTCATCAATCTGTGAATGACGGATTGACTCAGAAAGTTGCTGAGACAGTCACCATGAAGGTTGGTTTTGTTAAAAAAAAATACATGTACATGAGCAACTGGGGTTAAAATTCATAATTACATAAAAAGTATTCACTGGTTAACAGCCGGCCCTCTCAGTCTTAAAAGTTGGTTAAATTAGAAAGTGTTTTTCTGTGAGGAAATGAGAATATATCCAGAATCTTGACATGCATATAAGGTACTTGAATATCTCAACAGCTAGCATTTGCCCAATAACCATATAAACAGACAATAATTAGATGTTATTAACTCTTTGAGCAAAAAGTTTCAATCAGAGAATGCTGCTTAATGTAAAAATTTGAATTGTTAATGGTACAACTTATTATGCCCTTTAACTCCCATGAGTGACCAAGACATAATTTCTCCTCACAATATCAACCAAAAAAGTGATGAGAATAAAAAAAATATCAATTTGAGGATAATTAATTGATCCAATACTAAATTATCTGAACTAACATTATGAGAATTGTATGGTTGATTGTAAGGAGAATAACCAATTTTATTTGGGAGTTAAAGGGTTAATTTAAGTTAACATACAATTCCAAGAACCTTTACTATTTGTTTAATTTAGGATCTAAAATACTATGGAAACGTTTTGGTTTGTATTTTACCCTCTGGTGACCATAGCTGGCCCAAAATATTTTTGACAACATATTTATCCTTTTTTTTGTGACAACAGCAACATCTTTTGGTTGGTGCCGGTGAAACTCAAATGGCCATTCATCGAAGTCAACGCTGGTATGATGCCACAGAAATGGCTCTTGGATATACACTGGTATGTAGATTTAATAATTAAGCTAAACCTTTAAGGAACTAGTGCATTGTGCTTTTAACTAACAACAGCTAGACCACTTATAAAAACACCTAAAAGTATACAGTCATGAACTACTTTTCTCAGTCCCCATACCATCACTGCAAATTGGCCTTTACTTTTTAGAAATGGTCTGTACCTTATTAATGCTAAGGGCCAAGGGCCCACAAGCCTGATCTTATAGTGCTTCCCAATCTCTGGTTTTAAAAGTTGTGGTCATCGACAGTAAAACAAGCAGCCAACACAAGCAAGAAAGTTTCAATGACAACTGAGTTTTGCAAGTTGTTAAGTGAAGATCTACTTTGAAGAGAGGATATATTTTATGGACAAGCCTTGAATTGTTTTATTTAATGTAGTCCAGATATCCAAGTACTTATCGTAAACGGAAATATGAAAATTATAGGAAAGAATTAAGCTAAGCTAACTTCAAACATACATACTAACATTCTAAACATTCCTTTACAAAGACAAAAGTTATGCTAAGACCTAAAATCAATGCACACAAAAAACTATGTCTTCAAAAGGATAAATGAGAACTGCTTTAAAACAAACTCTAACACAAACTTCATAGCCAAGTGGGTAAATTGGGTAGCATTCTGACGTAACATGAACAATGTAAACCACATGTCACAAGGTTGCAAAAAAGTGCAATGAAAAAACTATTGTGAAACTGGGCAAAACTACCAAAGGCTAAATATTTAGACAGACATAAAGAAAGGAACATAGGCACTTTCATAACAGTTGGAGTTTAACCAAACTAACTTCAAGATAAGGTGGGCAAAACGCTCTTATGATAAACACACAACTTATTGTTTTTCCAAGCCAAGACAACTGACAAAAATGCAGTTCTGGGTGAAAATTAAATGATCATGTCCCTAATGGACAAACAATAACATCATTATGGTGCAGTCTAACATAATGTAACATGAATCAAACTTGTAGTGAATCAATGTCCAGTGATTTTCTGGATAACAACTACCGGTAATTAAATCGCTGTTTAATAACCGTACATTATGGCGTTATTAAAGAGTTAAATACAAAAGTTTTAATTTTTCACACCAAAAGATTGTGAGTTCTCAAATAATCAAAAGACTCTATAATAGTCTTCGGTCAGTGCATAGAGTGTTTGGAGATCGGCAAGTATTACATAATTGTAAGGCATAGCAGCCATAACACAAAGACATTTTCTGTATGAAACTGATAATCCTTAAAGGACCTCTTGCTTTAACCTTCCTTGTACTACTTCATCTATCTCAAGCTTTTCTCCTCGTATTACAGGGACCTGTTGCTTATTCTGACCTTACCACTCGTGAGCGTTTGGACCGTCCAGCAGTGCAAGTCTACCAACGTCATCCTGGTAACCAATTGCCTGAGGCTCGTGAGATTGTTAAGGGAGGAGAAGGTCTGCAGGTGTCTTTGAATGCCACAGCTCGTAATGTTGGTCTCTTGAGACTTACCAAAAAGAGAGTTGATGATGATGCAAGGGATAAACACCGTGCTGCCTTGATTGATGCTAGTGTTACCCGTATGCGTAGACGTTTAGGAAATCACCGTTGGGTGATCAATGGTGTTGGGTGTTAACTTCTGGTGGCTAAATTTAGTCTCTGTTTATAAACTTTGTAGTTTTGATTGACATCAAGTTTTAAATGGATAGCAATCCAAAAATTTCCTGATACAACTTTTTTCTTATTCATTTTACAATGGAAAGCCCTTTTTCACTGCAAGAATGATATAAAGTAGTTCAATTGGTTTCATTTTTGAAAAATATACGTAGGTAATATATTTGAGGAAGAATTCATTTGAAATTTATCTTGAAAATTGGCACTCAGTGTTTGGTTGCACTATTAATGAACTGAAAGGGATGTTACTGGATTTATTATGGGCACAGTAATAGGCATGGAAATGAGACCAAAGGAAATAAATATGTTTCATTTAAGGCTTGATTTGTAAATAAAATACATTGAGTGTCTCTAAGATTGGTTATTTATGATGATGGTTGGCAAAATACCACATTTCAGATAAGTTTATTCTAATTCACTGCAATATTGTTAATATATGACATATGGCTCATTTCCAGTTGACATCTCTTTGATTTAAAATGGTGGCAACTCATCCAGCTGTAGATAGTCTTAAAACTTGATATGTCTCAACGACTCTACCTTTTGTTTTTCCATGTGTGATAAGAAAATGATAGTGATGAGAGTGAAACTGTGTCAATAAAATTGTTCTAAATGAGTTTTATTGTAAGTGAGTTGCCTGCACTTTGTTATTTTGGGGAAAAATGTGTCCACTCAAAGCCAACCCCATTATGTGGCTGAGTACAAATTATCAGAGGGAAATATTCACTAGAAATTGCAGGAGGCCTTTGACAATGGTAAGCAGAATGAAAAAGAAATGAAGCTGTTTTTTTTAAACTGATGATGACAGGGTAAAGAAGATAATACAGGGTCATGAGGTGATAGAAACTTTACCTTTCAGCCTTGGGTGTACCTCATGAATGAATGCATTTAACAAGTGAGAGTATTTTAAGCTCAACATTGACAAAAAACAAAGTGGTTTTAATTTTTAACATGAAACTGAGGACCAAGTAAAAAGCTATTGTTTGGACCTCAAATTTAGCCTTTTAATTAAATTTGGAGTGATTCTACAGACAGGCTACACATTTTGACCCATGTCACACCAAGAAAAAACGTTTTCCTTCTAAGAGAAATTTTTTCCATGCCAAACATGGAAACAAGATCCTTATATTGGCACTCTTATCTTGGATGGTCACTCAGCAAAGGCACCATGATAAACAGAGCTCAGAAACGGGAGAAATACTAATATTTCACCATTACCTTAGTTCTGAAAAGAGATTCTGTACAATGAGCCTTATTCCAAACCAATTTTTTCCCCCTGGGTCGAAGTGGGCGACACATTCTCTTAATGACTGGGCGTGTACTGCTGGATTCTGGGACCCTTTTGCCTTCCGAGACCATGCCGAAAAAACATCATCATGTGAACATTGTTTAAATTGAATTCCAATTCTTTGCGCCTAGGGTTATACAAAATATACATTAGAGAATAGAAAGAACTTATAACGAGATCTTGGCGGTGAAAGGGTCAAATCCGGACTGATAACCAATGGAAAAGTTCGATAATGTTCAGACTCAGAAAATATCATGATTTCGAGCATTCGTTAAGGAAAAGAGCACTAACTCCAGTTCGGTCGGAACTCACTCTTCGGTTCAATTCGTTGGCAGCTGCTTAGTCTTGATATAGCATTTTTGCAATTGAGGACGAAGTTCCAGAATCTTTTGTTTCGTGTCGTGCGAAATGTAACACTGGAACACAAATAGCTCTCTTAGTCCATCACACCTCGTGACAAGATACAACAACGCCTTTTCGAGTTCCTCGCTACTTGTCGTACTAATCGACAACATCTCCAAAGTTTCACTGTAGTTCATGGCAGCAAAATAAACTTGGTCAATGACTTGGGACATGACTTCCAGGCGAAGGTTTTTCACCGGAACTTCGGGCTTCAAAATCATATCAACCTTGTACATCGGACAGGAAGTGTCGAAAGCTAGCGTGACACGCAAGTTAGGAATCTTCCTCCTAACGACTTCCCACGTTTCTGATGTTATGTCTTTTCCAAATTTTTCCTCTCGTCTACAGTCGATAGAGAGGTGATTGAGGGGAGTCCGGTTCTCTTCAGCGAGAGACAACAATATCTCCTCTGTCACGCTAGTATGATGAAGCGCGAGGGACTTCATCTTCCGGCACATGTCAAGCACATTTTCTATGCAACTGGAAGTGACTTTGCAAACAAGGGCCGCGTTTTGAATATTCAGTGACTCTAAGTCGCGATTATTTTCCACCAAGCAGTTAATTAAATTGTCGCTATAGGCGATCGGAAGTTTGCTTAGATCCACTAACTTCAACGTCGAGAGCACTTCAACATCCTCATTGGGTTTGTCGAACAGAACTCGTAAACACTCGATAAATTCCTGTCCTGCGTAGAATAAAGGATTCTCTCCGAGAAACTTGACAGTAAACCTTTCAAGCCTTCGCTCTTTTATACCGCTTAACATAAGGATAAGCGTGCAAGCACTTTCTCTGTTGATTTTATCTTCTTGATTACAATGAATCTCTACGGTTCTTAGATAATGACCGTGGTTCTCCAGGCATTTTGCGTACTTGAACTCTTTTGAATCGACGAATTTGAAATGGAATGTATGCCATAACACCGGAGAACCGAAACATTCACGCCACTGTTTACACGCGAGCGAAGCTGTTAACCTGTCAGAAAGTCCCAGGAAAGACATGATCCCCACTATTATGTGATCGGGAAGATTTTCCCATTTCTTTTCATCCATTGATCAAACTCAGGCAACAAACAGCTGAATCGCCTGATATCTGAGGCGTTGTTGTTTGATCAAATATGGAAATTTGCAGAGCGTTATAAATATTCAAGTATGCCGTGACCTCCACAGGGCACCCAGTAACTAAAAAACTTGTTAATTTATCCATCACGAAGTGAAGGACAAACAATGGCGAATAATAAGTACACAATGCCAAAATATGACCAGAATAGTTTGAATTTTTAATCTTTTATTCATGCAGCTTAAAATCCCGCCTAATAATTCTCAGTCGAGAGATCTCTGACGTGGGGACAGACCAGCGAATGAAGTGGGGTAACCTCAGTGACAAGATTCGGTCCTCAGGGGAGCACGTCCCTTAAAATTTAGGAACCTTGATGTACTTCAAACCATAAATCTTAAGAGTAATAGAGCCCGTCTTCACTCCTGAGCTAGTGTATTCTGTTTCGTTTCACGGCAATTTCAATTCTAAAATTTCAAGGCTTTGTGAGAATATTAATGTCTTAATCTTGAGATGAACAACAGAAAAACAGAGTTTTTAGGATCGTTAGCTACCGAAACTTTGGCGCGTTATTCAGCATCAACCCGAGTTTTCAGTCAAATCCGTTCCCACGGGGTTTTCCAAAAGATCGCTTTGTAGATCACACTGCGAAAACCTTGAATAAAACCTGAATAAAATTTACGAGACGCAGGATTTTTCCCGCAAATTCCCGCGATATGGCCAAGTGCGAAGTTTTGCCTCCATTTATTGTTTGTGCAATAATGTACATAGGCTTTGTCCTAGTCTGAATACTTACACCTCTTCCATGACTAAAAATATGAAATATCAAAGGGGAAACCGTACGAAGCCAATAAGTCCTCCAAGTACTTTGTACATTTTTTTAGGGTGCAAAACCCACCGTTTATAGGGTTTCTCACTAAATCAGTACAATAAAACATTTCCAGTCCGAAAATATTGATTAAAAAAAACCTATAAAAAAGTTTACGTTACATTTTCCCGATACGATGATACAAAATCATTGAACAACCCAATGGGCACGTGACTTGCACAGCATTTGTTTCTTCTTCAGAAACAAAAAAGGATCCCAAGGTTTCAATTACATAACCAGTAAAAAGTGTGCGGATGAACATTTCCCTCTTGGTTCTCGTACGCATTTTAAGACCGTTAAACCGATCCTTTATAAAGAAACATCTTTATCGAGTTCCAATACTAAGTAAGATTGATGTCGCATCGCATCTTTTTCTACTCGACCATTGAGTTTATCGACAAGTTTTTGCAGAAGGACTTTCTTGCGCTGAAGCTTCTCTTGAGAACGTGATGCTGACTTGAGCTTTCCCTCCAGATTCAGATTTTGTTGTGTAAGATCATTGTTTTCACCGTACAATCTGTGGATTATTTTCTCGCATGTTTTCAGCTGATTATCTGCTGTTTCCATCTACAGAAAAACAGATTAAAAATACCTCATGTAAACGTGTCGATTACTGGAAAGGGCTCTTCTTACAAGAAAGGCAACTATAGCGATTAGAACCACTATAACGATCCCGATCACGACAACGATAACTATAACTCATACTCAGTTACTCTCCTATTTTTTTTTATAACAAAGGTCATGATAAGATTATGGGTAGTCTATGATCTGTAAATAAATGGATCTTTGTTTTCCCACCTGCGCCTTTAATTGAGTTGCATACTCCCGAGGAACAGTTCCATCAATTTTAGAAGAATATCTTTCTTTATCCAGCTTCACAGAGGCAGGGGTCACGAATTCTTTAGTGTTTTTGTAATCAAACGCCGTCTGAGGAAAAAGGTACCATAAAAACATCTATAAACTTAAGGTTAAACGTGTACAAAATAGAGGTGTGCGTGACATACGTCCCTGTGGAATGTGTGACATTTGTGGACACGGACTGGACGGACTGGAGGTGAGCTTAGTACCAGGATCACTCTGTCGTAAGCAACCCGGGAACTTACGAAATTTGTTGCACGTTGGCTGCAACATGGCGGCCGAAAGAAACCTAGCGGTGAAGGATTTTTTTCAATGTTTATGGCAAAGGACGGTCCCATTCGTTTATTCTGAGACAGAATTTTTCTCGAAACCTCAAAATATCTTATGTATGAGAAAGGAGGCTGAATGGAATGCAAGAAGGAAGAGCATCTTTAGCACGATAACAAGGTGAATTGCTCCGATGTTTGTGTGTTGACTGAAAATATCCTTGGTCCATTTTATTCACTTATTGAATAATTTAGATTCAGAAATCTCTTCTGAAAGATTTGTACCTTCTTTACCTCAATGAGAAGCTTTTTTCTTTGGTGAGAAGTTACATGTGCATTTTTGACACCATATTATGACCAGAAATCTTACAATGTATCATTCTTATCGTGCAAATGAAAGTTCTATTGTTATTGATACTTTCGATATTTGTTAGAGTACTTGGAATCAATTTGAATTTTAACTTATTTGATAGGAATGGGAGGCAGGGAAAGCATTAGGGATGGAAGAATGAGAAGTCTCAGTAGAAATGTTTCTTTGATACTCACAAAAATAATATCAAATTCCTTCGCATAATAAAGTAAAATCTATGGAAGCTTCCTTTATACTGTGGCTAAAGCTTACCACAATTTCAAAGCATGAAGCACCCTTAGATGTTGCTAGTGTTTTGTTCTCCAATGGATGTATGCCTATTTGCAGTTTCTACAACATTTTCCTTGTTTTTCCTCTCTAGTTCGCTCTTCAAAGCAATCATTTCACAAGCTGGTGGTCTTATCCAGATCTTATCACAATGACATTGTGGGGTGGGCTTGGGTGTTTCTGTGATCAAGAGGTGTAAAGAGATTTCCCACCCCCCCCCCAAAAAAAAAAAACTCTTTCCACCTGTAGTAAGCTTTTAAAGCATCCCTACAATGCAAATTAACCAAAAAGAAAATCCCATACTGTCTAACCCTGAAAGCTTTGATAAAACTCATGAATTTTTGAACCCAAACAAATCCCCTGCACCTCCCAAGATCATTTTTACAGCTTGTAGTGAGTTTTAAAAGCATCCATACAATGCAAATTTAGAAAAAAAAATCCCATACTTTTTAACCCTCAAATCTTTGATAAAACTTGTGAATTTTGAACCCAAAAAAAATCCTCTTCACCTCTCAAGATCATTTTTGCTTCTTAGTGAGGCAGTGTCCATAACTTGATTCTGGACTCTGTGAATTTATGGTCCAATAAGCTTAGAACCATTGACATAAGATGTAACATGCCTGATTTTTCAATAAGTAGCCTCATTAATTAAATGATATTATCTGAACTGTAACTTAACTATGAAAGTGTATGCTGAAATTTTGATACCTTTTGTTGTAGGTTTGAAATTTGCCTTTCAATTTCTTCCATAATTTCCTTACTGCTATGTTCACCAGTCATGAGGAAATAGGAGAGCCTCTGATAAAACACTTGGAGAGTGTCATCTTGTCTGTCACTTTGGAAACCATGAAATGACTGGTTCTGTGGCAAGATGGATTTTTTTTAAAGGTGAATGTTTATATATACATTCTTAAAAGTATTCATAATATGTTATAACTGGTGTCAGATGGCTAATTAAAAACAGGGCTGGGTCCTAGCAGAAAGCAGGTGCCACAGACAACCAACCTTTTTTTCATGGGCAACTTGTCTAACTTTACTCTTATGAGAGTTTCTAAGAGTCAGGACCTCAAACTTTTGGTAAAATAGCCCTCAGACACTCAAGAATTTCTCTGAGAGTACAGCATTGAAAAAACAAATTTTTGTTATTTGATCATAAAATCCAAAGTTAATATTTGTAAGAAGTTGGAAAAATTGATTATGGTGTCATAGAAAAGCATATTTTAATTCAATCTCTATTAGACTATTTTTGCATTGATTTAATGATTACAAATGCTTTCTTATTCATAGCCAAGCTCTATTAGAGACTACATGAATATTTTTGCATCATTTTATGGACTTTAAAATACTTTCCCATTTTCAATCCTGAAATATGTGATTGCGTTTGCTTTCATATAAGAGATTTTTTCTGCCAGGATTTTGAATTGGCCTTCCATGAAAACAGAACCAACAACAGGTGTTAGTTAACGAAGGTCTTCCCATAGAATTTGAATGTAAAAAACTATATTGAATCCTGCTAAATGTGAAGATTAGTAATCAAGATTGTTCTAAGTGTACCTTTTCACTCAAAGTGCTCATTTCCCGTCGGTGGGTTATTTCCTGAAGCTCCAGCTTTTGTTTCATGTTTTCAAGCTGCCACTCCAGTAGGCTTACTTTCTGTTCTAATTCAAGCTTTTGCTGTTGTAGTTGTCGAATTTGATCCTTATATTCTTGAATTAAAATATCTTTCTCATCCTAAACATCAAAAAGAGAGAAATAATTAATTATTGCAAATGTTTTCAGAGGACTAAGGTTTCTATTTATTAAGCAGCTTTTTTACAGTTCTATATTAATTAAGAGCAAATTTTGTCTCTTTTTTTAAGCTCATGGGGATAGTAACTTGTTTTCATTCATCACGTGTAAAACTTCTGTGCACGTGAATTTAAGTGCCCAAATTGTGTGCAACCGCAAGATTGATCTTGGAAGTTTTCAATTGCATAATTTTCAGAATATTAAATCTTGAAACTACTTAGGATATTCAGTATAGTTTGTTCAAATATATAAACGTGTTAAGATTTTGTCTTGTTAGCTTTGTCACCACCGGTAAAGACTGTGTGAATTTGTAATGCATTAAAACAAAATAGGGATTTACGAGTGAGGCATGCACTGGTTCCTGGTCAAATGTATAATTTGGAGTGTTAAGGAGGTTCGCCTTTCCGGAAAATCCGGAGGAAAATCCTACAGCTAAGACGAGGACCATCAACTGTGTCAACTGTGGGCCGATCCGTGTACCCCTAACATGATACTCTTATTCATTTGTTAGTAAACAATGACCGTTACCTCGGTCATAGATCTTGCGGCGTTGCAGTCCTGATCAGTGTCAACTCCAACAGCATGGCCTTTTGTCAGCTTTACTTCCAAATCAACGGTAGCGTATTCCCGGTGCACCGTTTCTAGAACAGTCCTTCTGTTTTCCAGACTCGTCACTTCTGCATGCAGTCTTGTGAGCTGTATTCTCATGTCGTAGATTTGGCTTTCTAACTCGTTCCTCTCCCGTCTCAATGAGACCACGGTGTTGTCTTCCTTGGTGGAGTCTTCGTGGAGTGTAGAACTGTTTTGGTTTGTCGAGAGAGTCTCAGATGAAAGACCGCGTTGTTGGTGATTGATGTGCAAATATGAATTATTAATGGAGGTATCGGAATTATTATAAGTCATCTGATAACTATCTGATGATGAGAATGGAGTTGTTTGATGTGATACATGCTGTTGTGAAGTATGGTAGTTTTGTGAATTGTCAACCTCACTTTTATCTGATTGGCGATCGCTTGTGAAAGCCACCTCTACTTCCGTTCGATCTGGTGCGTTTCTTAGTTCTTGTCTCTCGGATCTTGAATACAGCCCATCCATTTCAAGACTCTGTTTTTTAATTTCCAAATCGTAAATATACATCTCCATGTCTGATTTCTGCTGTCGAAGATTCAGCAAATCGTCTTCTTCGTTGCTTTTTAGGGTTTGGATCTTTGAAATTTCTGACTGCAGATCTTGTTTTTGTTTCAGCCAGTCTTTTAGTTCTTCCTGTAAATGATAAAAAAAGGTCAATAGGCTTATCAACCTTTGCCTTAAGCAAAAACCCGACTCTTTAAAAAAGAACACGATATAGGTTGCTTGAGCCGTTGTCACATTTTTCAAACGTGTATTTAGCACTTTTTCACTTCTGCGTGGGTGGCCGCAAACCGCTCGCGAGTGTCGAGTGCCAAATATTGGAAAATACGCAGAGGGGCGTAGCTTGGTTATGCTTACTCGTTTGGTCTCTGTTAGCACAACGGAGAGAGAGTTCTTTTAGATTTGTCAGATCTGACGAATCAAAAGCATCCAAAAACGTTGCATCATAGTCCGTAATAATTGATGAAATATCGCCAAATTCCCATCCCACTCCTTACAAATTGAAATTTAAACAAACAGAAAGGTAGACAAGAAATACAAGCACCGTTTATGTTTCTCACCTGTGTGGTAGAAACGTCGTTAGTCCTTGATCCCAAATACCCCTCTTTATCATGCGTTTCATGCTCTGGCCTGTACTCTTGTTCTTGTTCGTTAGACTCCGCCCTTAACACGGACAACTGAACGTCAATTTCGGACTTTTCTCTGCGAAGTTGTTGCATCTCTCTTTCCTCTTGATCTCTTGTCGCTTTGATCTTTATTATTTCTGCTTGCAAATCTTCTTTTCGCCTCGCCAAAGTTTCCAGATTGTTAGTGATGTCTTGGACATTTGTTTGCAGTCCATTTGTTGCTATGGCTTTTTTCCTCCAAGCCTCATCGCCCACTGAAATATTCGTCTCAAGGTGCCGTTGCTGGCTTTGTAAACTAAAAACGTCTCTCTCCAATTCAGCCTTTTCTCTGCGTAGCTTATCAACCTCGTTCTCATCTTTGTCTCGCTCATCTTTAATCACAGAGCATTCAGCTCCCAGCCGTGTGATTTGGCTTTCTAGTGCTGTGATCTGCAGCTCCAGATCCGTTCTCTCTTTTCGTAAATAATCGACGTCATTCTCTCTTTGCCTAAAAGCTTCTTGCACGACAATGATGTCAGCTTCCACTTCGGCCTTGTTTCTCCTCAGAAGAGTTATCTCCTTCTCCAGCTCTTTGCGAATCTTAGTTAGTTCTAGAACTTCTTTTTCTTCAGTTTGCAGGGCTTCTTCAGAGAAGTGAACATTCTTTGTGACTATTTCTGATTGAAGCTGTACGAGTTGCATTTTCAAGTCATCCCTTTCTTGTTGCAGGTCAGTAATCTGTTGATCTGTGTTGTTGTCTTCCTGAGTTCTATCAGTCTTGAGTCGAGGGATCCCAGAAGGTAACTTTCTTTTCCAATCTACCTCTCGTTTGTCTCTCTGGTGAACGTCAATCGTTTTTTGAATCGTTTGTTTCTTGTGGTTCAGTGCTTGGATTTCCAGCTCCATCTTCGCCTTGTGATCCTTTAGCTCGTTCAATTTCCCTTCCAAACTTGTCTCTTGTACGTGATACTGAGAAACCGCACTTTCTAGTTTAAGTTGTTCTTTCTTTAAGGAGGTTATCACCCTTTCCAAGTCGTCTTTTTGTCTCTGCAACACCCAAATGTCCTCTTTGCCATCTTCTTGTAAAGGGCTTTCGTTGGCCTGATGTAGTACATTTCTTCGGCACTCGAGTTGTACTCTTAAATCCCTCTCAAGGTCAGACTTTTCTTGGCTTAATCTTCGTATGGCGCTTTCTAAGTCCTTTTGTTGCCTTAGCAAGTCAGACACTTTCGTTTGCAATTTATCAGCGTCCCTATCAAGATCAGAACCGTGATCGCCATTATTTAAAATAAAGCTGTCTTGTGATTGGAAGAGGGTCTCTCTCGTAGCGCTCGGCGTTATTTTGTCTTGCGTGACGTGATCGCGATGCGTAGTACGGGATCTCTCTCGTTGATCGTTGAACTGTCTGTGAACCTCAATCTCCATCGTCGTGTTATTCCGTTTTAGGATGGAGATCTCATGTTCAAGTTCTGCCTTTTCTCTTTTTATAATAGACATGGTGTCTTCAACTTCCCCTTGCTTTCTCTTTAGATTGGTGATAAGGTCCTCAAGATCTGCTTTGTCTCTCTTCAGTGATCCCATTTGACTGTCAGATTCAGCTTTGTCTCGTTTCAAAGCAGAGATTTCATCTTCAACGTCCAACTTTTTGCGCCTCAGTGTTGCAATTTCATCTTCTAGTTCTTCATTTTTTCGCTGTATGGATGATAGTCGACTCTCAAGATCATACTTCTCTCTTTGCAAAGAGCTCACCTCGCCTTCCTTTCTTCTCAAACTCTCCTCTAAAGATGCCATTCCGCTTTCATTGCTTCCGAATTTAACGTCAAAAAGCTCCGTTGAGTTAGACAATCGCCGCTTTAAGCTGGCTATCTCGTCTTGGAGATCATTCTTTTCACGTCTCATCGCTGACAGACTCAGTTCGTGTTGCTGATTCTCGTACTTTATAGCTGCCAGTTCATTGTCCTTTACACGGATTATTTCCTTCAGTTTGGCGCCACTGTCCCACCCCTCTGCGTTCGAAATCCGTCCATCGTTCATATCCGTCAGACGTATCTCCTTGCTTCTCAGATTTTCCTCGAGCCTTGCACAGTCTCGTATCAACACATCTCGCTCCTGGGTCAGTGCCGACATCTGTCGCTCAAAATCATCGCACTTAGCTTTAAGTAAGAGTGCATCTCTCTCGTGCTGTTGGAAGATATCGCCTTGAGTCGATTTTTCTAGCATCAACTTCTGCGATAACTCATTTTCAATTCGAATGCGCACCTCTTCCCTTTCGATAGTAATGTTTCGTCTCATGTCTTCCCTCTCCATCTCCAACTGCCTTCGAAGTTCTTCCCGCCTCTCGGCGTATGTGAGTTCCATCTGCGCATTCTCTTGTTTCAGAAGCGCGATTTCCTCGCCCATTTCTTGAATTGTTTCCTCTAATCCTCCCTTTTCTCTGACAAGTCCAAGTTGGTATCTCTCTTCGAGTTTCAGTTTCAAAGCTCGTTTTTCTTCAGAGTACCTCTGCTCCATTTCCGATATTTCCTCTTCAAACCTTTCTTCAAGCTTTCGTCGTTCTTCTTTACCCTTCTTCTCCATTTCTTTTCTTTCTTTTTCCACGATTTCCAAGTCTTCCTTTAGCTTTACGTTGATATTTTTGAGAAGTGAAGTTTCATTTTCAAGACGCATCATAAACTCTGCCTCGAAATTAGCCTTTAAGGAGCTTCTCTGCTCTAAAAAAGCCTGCTCCATTTCTTTTATCTCTCTTTCGAACTTGGTCATTATTATGTCTTTTTCTTGATTCAAATTATCGTTTAGCTCCTTCAGCTGTAACGTTAACTTCGAAATATCCATCTGTAAGTCAGAAATGTTTTCTTCGTATTTCTCTCTTTGTTTCTCCAGCTCACTACCATGCTTTTCGTCCAATTTTCGTCGCGTATCTTGAAGCATCTGCAAGTACTTTTTCTCGATGTCGTTTTTATCCCTTTCCGAATTCATTTCCCATTTCTCCTTCTCGTGACGGAGGTGGTTTTCAGCTTCTCTCTTCTGCCAATGTAGCTCAGAAACAGTTGTCTTCATCTCGGCTATATTTGCCTCGTACTTCATTCTTTCTTGTTCTAACCGGCGTTGATATTCCTCCTCCATTTTTCGCTTAATCTCGCGTTTTTCTAAGTGGAAGGTCCTCTCAAGTGACTCCCTTTCTCTCTCATATTTATCCTCCAAGTCTAGTTCTGGATGCATCTGGCTGGTCAAAGGACCATTATTTATTCGTAGATATACCTCTGCGATTTCGCGTATTAAATTGGAATCCACATCATAAATATCATGGCCCCCATTAGAAACTGGTTGAAAGCTTCCCAACCGCTGTGCGCCCGCTAAGCTCTCCGCGCCTGAAAAAGAGCGAATTTGACCGGTGTCGTGAGAAACTGTATCCGAAACGGCGAAAGCGACACCATTCGCTGTGGATTCTGTTATTCTTGAAGTTTCTATCATTTGGTCCTTGTCCAATTCCAGCTGATGCAGAAGTTGTTTTCTTTCCAGATCAAAGCTGTTTTTCATCCGACGTATTTCCTCTTCATGGCTCTGGGCCAAAATGTCTTTCTCAATAATAAAACCTCTTACTATGTCTTCTATTTCGTGTCGATAATTCTCTTTCGTGCGTGTTTCAAGGCTACCAGTTGTCGTTTCTAGTTCAACTTCCAAATTTTCTACACTCTGTTGTGAACTCTCCATCGTGTTTGTCTTTACCCCATATCGTCTACGCAAAAATGAGAAAATATATTTTAGATATTCAGTGGCATCTACGTACCACTGCAATGATAAATGTGTCGCGTTCCATGCAGAATTTTAATCAGACCTGTAAAATATAATTATGTCAACTGTGCAAACTCCAAAATACCATATTTGGGAGAATGCTATTGTTTTTTTGACGTTGTTTTATCCCCGCTTAATATTCATATACTTGTACCGCTCTGTGCTTATGGAAATTTATTTCACATTTCGGCGTTTGTATATCATTGTTAAGAAGCTACTTGGTTACCATGGAAACATTAATTAGTAATTTAAAGCACCCTTTTGACACAGAGCCAAATTAGAAAAATTATGTTGATACCCGCTCTTAAGGTTTTACCTGCTCCATGAAATAATATTGTAACAGACATTTTTATAATTTGTCATAGTCTTGATACAATTATTCTTTTTTACTCTCCACGCCACTGATTTGACATGCTTTCTCGTTTATTTGCCCATAATTTCACATCTTGGTGTTAAAATTTAGAACTTTTAATCAATTTTTCCCCATAATTCTTTGAAATTACGCGAAGTCCACACACCAAGATTAATTGAAACGATTTTGCGTTCATCGTTTCTGCCTTGTAGCTGAAGGTTTTCAAAAAATTGAATAATTACTATTTTCAATTATCGAAGATGACATGACAATTAAACAGCTTATCAATCAAAGCGTGATTCTAAAAACAAAATGAGCACTGATAATAGGGCTGAGTTCTGAGTTTTTTATTCTCACGTGGATGATAAAATTCACGAGGATAAAGAAGATGAGAATTGGTCGTGTTCTAGTCTGAAATAGTGATCTGCAAAGGTCTTTCATATAAATTGGCATACTTTTGTTGCGGTAGGAGTCCACCAGCATCAGTTTAAGATCACATTAAGACCTTTCCGGGGCCATAGGGATGTTTGAACAGATTCCTAAAAAAATGTGAGTCATTGAAATTATTTAATAAAAGTTTGGAGAACATTTGAATTTTAATTGTCAGCCATATTGGATAAATGAACAGATATTGTGATTTTTAAACCAGGAAGATATTTTCTGTGCAGCGAGCGGTAGATATTTACTGATTTTTTTTAGACAAGAAGTCACGATAAAGACCTTCGCACTTAAGATGTCATATGGTGTTTTTTTTTATCGTTCATGTAAAAAAGACACATCTGTAAACACCAGGGATCGATAAACCGCAAGGAAGATCTTCATAAACGAAAAGGTGAGAATGTTTTAGCAGTGGACAAATTTTTTCCTCGCCACTAATTGTTTTTCGGAGACTGTTGTCGCTTGAGCTCAGCACTACTTTGCTGAGAATGGTCTGAAATCATTAAGGTGTGAATCAAATCACGGAAGAGGTTTGCTAGATCTCCGAAAGCCGTATAACTCTTCCAGTAAAATTCAAATTTTTTTCGACATTAATAGCAAGAAGTGTAACGAAGACGTTTAATGAGCGAACTTCTCGACTCTGTGACATAAATTCAGTTTTCTGCTTATGCTAATTATGATTGGACGCCTGTATATTGCAGGTACGGCCGCAGTATTTTGTATGGTTTTCCAGACTTTGCACGGCTATAACATCTATGGGAAGAGGGTAGGGTGAAGGCTGTAATCTTGCTCTAGCGAAAAGGAGTATTACTAGGGGTTAAGTTATGGCTTTGAGACAGCTGTTACTGTCGTATAAGTTTTGTTATTACATCCGTTTATAGGGGAAGCGCGAGATCATCTCCTTACTTTACTCCAAATTTTTAGTGACAGCAACCTCAAGAAAATATTAAACTTTGGAAGAAAAATATAAATTCTCTCCTAAAAATGATAATATTCCATGAGCCATAAACAGATATACCGAAAGGGCAAGATCATACCGAGCTGAGTACAATTCTATAGTTTCAAGATGTCATTAGACCGTCGCTGAGGTTTGGAATTTTATATATCAGTTACTTACACAAACGTCAGTTGAGCAAACGAACCTGATGCAATGTGCCTTTTGTCAGATAAACGACATCAAAACTAAGTACTACTCTTAATATGGTTTGATATGGCTAGCGAAAAGCTGTTATAGGGGCCCGAACTGGTAGTTTTTTCTTCGTCTAGTAGTGTTTACATCGTTTATTGTTTTAAGTATCTTCTCATGATGATTTATCTGTGTTGTGTCTCTGATGGTTCGCTTGTGCGGTTTAATTGGTTTCAAACAGAACGCATCATGCATTGGCGTTACAGTCGACCACAGCGTCTGTTTATTATTTGGGGCCATTTTACTCTCCAACAAGGAATAGGAATCACTCTCAAATCGGGAAATTTGAACATTTGTCATTCTATCGTTATTTTCCTAGGGTAATGACGTTGATCGAGTGAAATTATGGAAGACTTGATTCGGCAAGAGAGGAGATTTTTGTGTCATAAGATGTATCTGTAGTCCTATGACAAATTCACTTTTCACAGTGTTTTACGGTTTCTTTTGCTGTTTCATGTTCACAATATTTTCGTCAAAAAGCACAACTTTGTGATGCAGTTGCTTTTAACCGAAAAAATTAGTCTTTCACTTTTGTATGCGTCTGTCCTGAGTTGTAAGATTCATTATCTAGATCATTTGTATGCGTCCAGTAAGACAGAATATGAATTTTCCACCGTGGTGTACAGGGGAATTAAAAAAAAGACAACGTCCTTTTCACTCACAGGAATGTGAAAATTGAAAAATAATAACAATGCTGTAAAGCTATCATAAGCAGTAAGAACGGGTGAAGAAAAATCGATCGGCAACTTCAGCAGGATGCAAAAAAAGGATGTTGTTATCCTTTACTTACTTGTCTTGCTGCAAGTCCAACTTGTTTTGTTAATAACGATTCTTCCACGACAATTCAAAACAGTAAAGCCATTTTAAAATGTAAAACCGAAGGGCACATCCTTTTCTATTTTCTGTTTGATATTTCCTTTATTGACCGATAAGTTGGGAAATATCTGTGAATAGCAGGTGGCAAGCTGCAGACCAATGTTATTGGACCGCTCAAAACCTCAAATATTCCATGAATAGTCCTGATCAGCGTCATCGAGAAGAAACGCTTTGGATCGGGTTTATGACTACTGAATGACGCGAATCTCAGAACGTTGTGTGGCAAAACTGATCAGAGACTCTGAATGATTTGTGGGAAAATTAATATAATTGTGTGCTATTCGCGGAATAGTGATTTCACTCTAGAACAATTTAATATTTCGTTTTTGGTCATGACGAATGAAAGGTATATATCTGACTTCAGCCGCAAATAGTGCTTCTTGTTGCGTACTTGGTAGATGTGCCGACATTGTTAAGTGAACTTACAAGTGATTTTCCGTGCCAAGATGTGCGTTTTGCTTACAGAAAGCTGTCAATGTTTTCGTTTGTGTGCTTAATGGTAATGATCGAGGGATTAATATCTGCAGCGTTGCTAATGCTGGCCAAATCTAGCTCATCACAAAATAAAATGCACACATTCCTTCTCAAGATTCCAATTTTACCTTAGGGGGTCATTCGCTCTCAGTTTATTTCTAGTTTGAAATGTAAATGATGGCACCTTCTAAGGTAAATAAAAAAGGAAACGATAAGACAAAAGGAGAGAGTAGTTGTATTGTCTATATAGCATTCAACACTTAAAAGATGTAAAATCAGCCGTAACGGTTATTCGATAATCCAATTCTTTCTTTACGATTATTAACTTTCTTGCCTCTCTTTACACAAGTGCGCCCCCTTTGATTCGATTGGCATTTCTTTCAAATATTATGTATTTGATAGCCAAACATACAGATAACCAGGGTGAAAAAAATATTCAAACAGGAATCGAACTGGTTATATCATATTTTCCAAATGTAATCCTAACTTTGTTAACTTTTGAAATGATGTTGAACAGAAACGTGAGGCTGACAGGCATAAACTAATATGCACAAACTGATCTTTCTCTGACCTTCCAGCTCATCGTTAATTATTTCCACAGTACGTAAGAGAAGTGCAAAAACAAGGAAATCACATGATAAAAACAGCAGTTCACCAGATAAGTAAGAATTTATTCCTCCTCAAAACAAAATACACTGTATTAACTCACCCTAAGATATACTTCTTTTCGCAATTGTAAATCTACCACGAAATGATGACCTTAAATAATGTTTCTATTCAAACCTAACGATTCCGAAAGAATCATTCAAAACAGCTTACGAATATCGTGCAGAGTACTGTACGTGTAGATGCAATCGCATGCAAAAACATGTTCGTGGATTTGCAACATTGTGTTCTCGGATCAAATAATTTACGTTTCCTTTTTAGAATCAGCTGAAAATGATTTGTTATGTCTCCTGACCGGCTCGTTTTTTTTTTCAATTTTTATCTTCCTTGACCACTTAAAATTGATTACTTGATGCTACCAGTACGTTTCCGCCTGAGACGGAAAAACCCTATTTTACGAGTACCTGTGTAGAGCAAAAGGCTTCAGTTAAAAGTTTAAACCCAATGAGATTGACTCCAATATTTACCAGAGTAATACCGAAAGACAGGCCTAACCAAGCGAATATAATGCTCCTTTTGTATTGTTTCTCATTCATTTCTGTTTGTGTCAATTAAGGAATTGTTTCCAAACATAAGCTGCCACCACTGGAGTAGGGGCCAGCAATTAATCACTACATGTACAATCACGTAGGTCATATTAATCTACAGTTCACCAGTCGAAGACAACACATCATAATGTTGTTGACTTCGTGCTTCCCCACTGTGCTGCATTCTGTGAGGATTTCTATCGCTGTGGTACAATTCTCTCTCCCGCAGATCGCGTGAACGTCTCTCAAAGTGAGCTGATCTCTGAGGAAATAACAGCAAACATACAATTATGTTTTACGGCAATGTAATGAAGTATGGCGAGAGCGAAATACTTACTCTTTGTGATCCCCCAGGTTGTATCGTTGCGATAAAGTTCATCCTCGTCCGCCACTCGCTCCTCTCTTTTTCGAACTGCTCCTCCATCTCTTCTCTTTCCCTTTCAAATTCTGCTTTCACCTTGCTTTTTTCTTGGCGGGCTTTGGTTTTCATTTGGGAAAGATCGACATGGAGCTTTTCGATCTCTTCCTCCATTTCTCTCATTCTGCCTTCGTGATGTTCCTTTTCTCTCCTTATCTGCTCCTGGTATTCATTGTCCAACTTCGCTAAGACTTGTGCATTATTTTCCATTGGTAACGGAACACTAACGTTTGCGCGACCTTCTCTGTTAGACATTTGACTTTGTAGTTGTTTCCTGTGCTCTTGCAGCCGTGCTATCTCTTGGCGGAGACCTTGTAGTGTGCTTTCAATGTTTTCTTTTTCCTTTTGCAGTTTGCGCCTATAATCCTCTTCCATTGTGGCCTCCATGTCCTTCTTAGCTTCTGCAAGAGAGTTAGCCTCAGAGGTAGCGTTTGCCAGCCGTTTCTCAAGCTCTGCTTTTTCTGCTTTAAACTTCAGTTTCATTTGTTTCATCCTTGCTTCAAAATCTCCGCGTAGTTCTTCCCTTAAAATTTCAGATTTTGCATTTTCACTCTTCACTTTTTCTATCCATTCTTCTTCGATTTGATTAATTGTGTCAAGTTTACACTTTTCCCATATCTGCCTCATCTCTTTCTTTTCATTTTCAAAAGCTTCCTCCATTTCTGCTTTGTCTTTCTTCTGTTTCTTTTTTAGATCCTTCTTTTCCTGTTTTCCTTTTTCAAGCTCTTTCGTTAATGCCTGTATCGTGGCCTCCAATACATTCTTTTCTCTTTCGAATCTTCTTTTCATTTCATTCCTTTCACTCTGCATTTCTTTTACCCTAGTTTTCATTTGTGCAAGTGCCGTGTTGTATTTTTCTTCCGTTTTCTTTGCTATTTCTTTTTGCTCTTGTACTTTCTGAGAAACGAGATCTTGTATCTTGTTTTCAAGACCAGTGCTCCTAGAAGACAAATTATTCGAAAAATCTTGTTTTATTTTCTCTTCCAGCTCTCCTTTCTCCTTTTTAAATCTTTCAGCTAGTTCTGCCTCCTCTTTCTCGTGTTTTCGTCGGATATCGTCCAAGTGGTCTTCATAGTATTTCTTGTTTTCTTCCATTCTTCTTTTGAAATCCTCTTTCAGTGCCTCCTCGAGCTTCTGCGTTTCCTCTCGCTGTCCTTTTTCCAAATCAGTTTTTTGTTTTTCGTACTGCCTATGAATTTGAACTAGTTTCTGTTCAAGTTTCTGCTTCTCGTTTTGAAGACCTTTTATCTTGTCATTTGCCTCGGCAATATCAATTATGGCATAATTTTCGTCCTCATTATAACCTCCCTGAGATACTTGGTCATAGAAGAGGTCTATTTGTAGATCTTGATAACTACTAATGGCGTCTGGTGGTGATCTTGCATTTCTTTCAATTTCTATAATGCGTTGTTCCAACTTGGCTTTTTCTTTCTCAAATCGAGACTTCATGGCCTCCTTCTGGCGTTGAAACTCATCTGCCAATTTCCTTCGTTCATCTTCATTCTTCTGCAGGTCGTCTTCGTATCTGGACACAGCACTTCGGAGCATCTGTTCCCATTCCTCAGTTACCCTACGAACAGCTCCAGCGTTGTTATTCAACTCATCCTGCAGTTGTCGGTACCTTTCTCGTTCTTTAGCTAGCTCCGAATTATGCCTTTCGACGAGTTCTTTCGTGTCGTTCACATATTTTTCCTCTGCTGCCCTTTTTGCGTCTTTAAGAGTCCTTATATCGCATTGGAGATCTTCTATTTCATTGTCCAGTTTCTTGCCTCTTGCCTTTTGCTCTTCCAGACGTCTTTCAGTTTCATCGATTGCGTTTTTCTTGTCCAGTTCCATAGATGATGTTAATTTGGACTTCTCATCGGCAAACTCTTCCTCCATCATTTTGATCTTCTTTGTTAGCCGTTCAACTTCGTCGCTGAGATAGGCATTATTCCCTTCTACTTTATTCAGATTTTTGGTGATATCATCGATTTCTTCAATCATGTCGTCCAGTTTCTTTTGCATTTCGCTTCGCTTCTTTATGTTTCGAGCAATTTCTTCTTGTAGCTCTTCGTTTTTATCCTCGAGTTCTCTCATCTTAGTCACATCTCTACCTACCCTCTCTATCTTTTCCTTCAAATTGATGTTCTCTTCTTCTATCTCTTTATTTCTTCGCTTCATAATGCTGTTGTATTTTGTTACTTCCAAGACTTTCTTCTGCAGTCTGTTGGTGTCACCGCTGTTATCTTCTGTGAGTGTGGTACTATTCCATGACCGTTCTTCACTTTTAGCGCGGCCTTCATTCATGTCTGAAACAATGTTATCCCTCTCTGGCTCGTTATACTGCTTTTCTTGTATAGTGCTCTCTAAAAGACCTTCTGGTTCCATGTCATTGAAAGCACCCTCAAAAATACCCGACTCCGTCGTGCTTTCCATTACAGAAGCGATCGTTTCTCTTGGAATATCTGCCATTCTTCTAATTAGCTGTTCATTTCTTTTCCTCTCCTCATCCAGTTCAGCCTTCAGTCGCCAGTTTTCGTTCTCTCGTCCTGCAATTATTCTTGCCTTCTCAGTTTCAACCGATTCTCTTAACAGTTCTTTTTCTTTGGCGTGCTTCTCCGAATCTTCAAGCATTTTACTTTTCAGCTGCATTAAGTCTTGTAGTAGAGCTTCGACATTTCGACTGAGCTTGTTTTTTTCCTCTGTTTCTTTTCTCAAGCGTTCTTGCAAGTCCTCCATTTTTCGACGAGTCTTGGCTTCCACCTCCAGTTCTTGTTTTTGTAGTTTTTCAACTCGATTATTCATGTCATGGATTTCTTTTTCAAAGCTGTTGTTGCACTTCTTCAGATTGACAATAACCGACTCAAGTTTTTCTTTCTTAAAAACTTCTTGTTCTAATTTAGACTCGAGCTTGCTTACTTTTTCTGTAAACTTAGCTTTGATATCCACCATCTTAATGTCATTCTGACTCAATAATTTGGCTTTCTCTTTGTTCTTATTTTCTGCCTTTTTCAGGTTGTCTTTCAGGATTTCCATTTCTTCCTCTAAGTCAAATTTCATCTCTTCCATCAATCTCTCCTGATCCTTCAGCATCCGTTCTTTCTCCCTTAATGCTGTTTCTAACTTAAGTTTTTCCTTTTCTAGCCTCACGTATTCTTCTTTGGGAACATATTTGTCTAAATTCTCAACGAAGTCGTTGAGTGGATCACTCATGGGGGCGTCATGCAGGTGGTCTATTATTTCACTTAATTTCTCATTTTCTTTTGCTAAGATGGCGATATCTAAAGCATAGCCATTTTGCCCGGGAGAGCGGCCATTATTATCATTACTTAGGGAAGCAATTCCCGGTTCTTTTGTGCTTTCAAAACTCTTTACTCCAAGACTTGGAGTCGTAACTTTTCCTTGTGTATTTCCTCGCTTTAGCCGTTGGTTTTCGTGTTTTAAATTCCGTATTTCGTCCTCGAGTTGAGAGGACTTTAAATTGAATCTTTCCTCGAGGAAGTCCCTTTCTATTTTGTCCTGCCTATATCTTCGTTCAAAGATCGCTTTTTCTCTCTCAATCTGTCGTATTTTTGCCTGGTTATCCCTCTTCTCTCGCAACATCTCATTGATCCTTGCGTCGCTTAAGTCTTTGTCCGCCATCCACTTGCTGGTCTGCAATTTATGGTCGGTACCGGTTCCGTACGGGTACGAATGAAAATCATCAATTTCATCTGAAGTTTCGCTGACGGTGTCGGTGAATCCATCGGGGTTATCGTTCCTAAGCTGCCTCATGGCCTCTTTCAGGATCCTGTTTTCTTGAAGTATGTTTGACATGTCGCGACCGTCATCGGAAAATATCGATGATAAGTCATCGTCACCATAGAAACCGCCTGAAACTCTATCGTTTGCAAGGAAGTCGTCTTCCAAATAAGATTCGTAAGTGGCCCTCTCCTTTGAATGACTATCTTTTGCCTCATCTCGCGCAAGAGCGCCTTCATCGTCGTGTATTTCAGAATGCAATGAAACATTGTCCATTTCCGACCTTTTCTCCTCATCTTTAAGTCCATCTCGTTCAACCACTTCTGGAATTGATCGGTTTTCCTCGTCGTCATAATTCTCCTGTCCTTCCTGAAAACCACTTTCCCGGCCTTCGACGTCATCAAAGTGTTCTGTGGTCCCTTCGCTTCCCTTGCCATCAATATGTGAAGGTGCATCCTCCACTTCACTAGTATTGTTTACATGAGCGATTTGTTCGAAGTTGTTATCATGTTGTTGCAAATACCTGTCAGGATTATCGGTTACAATCTCTTCGATTATGCTACGGTCTTCATTCTCCTCGTCATCCTCCTGGTCGTTATAGGAGTTTGAATCTTTTTTTTCTAAGGTGCTGTTTTCCACGATTTTGGAGGTTTCAGATTTTTGAAATTCATCCTTACTCTCATCAAGATTATCGGTTACAATCTCCTTGTCGACTATGCTACGGTCTTCATTCTCCTTGTCGTCATGGAAGTTTGACTCTTTTTTTTCTAAGGTGCTATCTTCTACCATTTTGAAGGTTTCAGATTTTTGAAATTCATCCATACTCTCATCCAACTCTATTTGCATTACCGAGATATCTTCATCTTCTTGTTTTTGTTGATGATTTTTGTCTGCCACATTCTCATGCTCAGTTAGTAAATAGGTGTCCTGTAGATCCCTGCCTGAAGTAGTAGGCAAATCTTCCTCCAATACAGAACCCTGAGGTTTAGATTCGAGCTCATTTGACGATTCTGGGTCAATTGTGCCAGATATATTCTCTTCCACTGAAAATCCGTCTGTTTCTTGTCTTGAATCCTTTTCGTCTCCATCGATCTCCGCTGCTGACATTTCATGGTCGAGCAAGCCACCGGTGGCCAGGTCAGCATCATTTTCTACAAACGCTGTCGCAACATCATCCTCGAGACTTTTAAAGGTGTCTTGATCTCCGCCTCTGGGTATCTCTAGTTGTGCGCAATCTGTATCCTGTTTTCCTTCCTCAGGATCACTGTCATTTTCTAATTCTTCAGGTTCTTTGTAAGCTGATTCGTTGTCTTCTGGCAGTGCTTCGTTTACTTCCTTGCCTGAGGTTGCATCATCTCCATCGCTTTCTGTAATATGGGTTTTTTCTGTCGCGACTGAAATAAAAGAGTTATTCTCCTTTTCAGTAAATCCTTCTTCGGCTGGTTCATCCATTTAATCAAGGAAAGACGTGTTCCAAATTACTGTTCAAGCCCAGAAAATTATTGTCAAGCCCAAAATTAAAACTGGTAGTCGTTACTGAAGTTCAGTAATGATTACCGCCGAAAAGATACTCGAGTTTCTTGTTTCTCAATAATGGCAACTTCTTCGCGGTACAGAACCAGCAAATGGCAGGGATCCGTGCCTGAGAACTCGCTCAAACTTCTGTTTCGTCCAGAAATTTCGAACTTTGTTTGGCATAGCTTCGTTTTGTATACAACCCAAATTACCTTTGCATCGCGTTGACGATGTGCCAAGCGCTTTTAAAAGGATTTCAAATAATTTATTCCTTTGCAATGAAAAGTATTTTTCTACATAATCCGCGTAATAGTGCTAAACGTGCCATGAAAATTTAGTTCATGGGATGATATCCAGAAATTACCAATTTCTTGAATAATAAGTATAGGGATGAAAACAGCCACCAGACGAGCAAACACCTCCCTTGCCAAACGTTTGCATGTCAAATATCGCGTTATTATTCCTAACCATATCCGAGTGCATTTCGCAATGTAGAATTTAGCTCAACGTACCCAATCTTATGAAGTATTTGTCAGTCGAATTCTATTTTGGGTCCATGCAGAAAAAGTATCTCTGTATTCACCTTTAGACTTTGTTTTCGTTTTTTCACAAGCCAAATTCTTGAAACCTCAAAACCGCAATTTTTCATTTGTATGCATTTGTAATTTGTATGCACCAATTTGTGAGTGAAACCTGTTGTTTTTGCACAAAACTGACTTTCTTGTAATTCGGTATTTTTCGAAAGTAAAATATGTTTTCTTTTAATGAATTTCCAAGCTGTTGCCGCTGAATCTTTTGCTAGAGCTTCAAAAGAACTTTCGAAATCACTAGCACACACTTTAGGTCACTTTTTGAAAGGCAGGAAACCATTGCTTATTGCTGGTGGCAAAATCCGAAAACAGAACACCTCCTTTAACGATACCATAATGTGGTACAGACTAAAAACATTGTTCGAGAATATCCTTAAAACCTGGTAAAATTGTATTTTGCCTCATTTCTGATGACTGATGTTAACTTAGTTTTCGTCGTTGATCAGTCTAATGGATCTCATTACTATCTCATGAAAAAGTGTATATATATATATATATATATAAATATTATGAGAGGAAAAAAGGACGCAACTACATTTCCCGACAAGCCTGTTTCGTGAATCGCTTCACTCTTCAGGGGTTTAATATATACATATATATATATGTATTTTTTTTTTAATTTACGGGCTAAATATCCTTTTGGAAATGTTCACGGCAATAGTCCTAAGGTAGAGATAACCCTGTCCATATTTTCGTGTTTGCTTTATGCGCTCCGATTCAGTTATTTCTGATACTCTATCTTAGCTCATACCTGTAGGAAAAGGCTGTGATTCGTACATCTCTTTTTACTACTATCAATATGACCATTTCTACTCAAGACTGAGGCATATTTCCAGCTCTAATACAAGCAAAGTCACAAGCTTCGGACTCATTGTTTACTTTTAATTTATCGGAGGCGGGAGTGGGGGTGTGACACTTAATTTTTTTGTTTTTGTTTTATAAACAAAGAAGAGTTAAATTTTACTCACTTTTGCATAAAAAATGAATTATTGAACTCGTGTTGACATGATATTTCTGCAGATTTTTTTCTTTTTTTAATAACTTTGAAATAAGTTCTCTTCATTGATTCCATAAATTCAGTTTTGTTTTCGGCTGACTTTGCGACTGACCCCAGGTATATAACCAATGAACGCGATTGAGAAGAGAATTACGAATGCTGAAGTCGACAGAATAAATTGGCCATTATATTTACAATTAAGAAAGAAACTTTATCCGAGAGCCAATCAGAAACCAAATACTCCTTTCTTGAAAAGCGTAATTCAAGATGTCTTATTCTTGTTATGTCAAAGGGTTTTCTTAAGTGCTTTGAAAATAATTTTCATTTGGTCGAATGCAAATGCCTTCACTGCCTTTCTTCTACGCTCAAAAATGTCAAAAAAAAATACCAGCCGACGTTTTGAAAAGAATGGTATCAAAGAAATTTTCCTTGTTTCTTACACTTGTTAATAATTTATACCAATACATACTGAAAACGCCTACGACAGTTTTTTTTAACTTACAAAATGAAAACATAGGCGCCGAAGCTGGTACGCGTAGTTCTTATTTTCAGTAACTTTCCAAGTGATTCTGTAAATTGAACCGGGAAATTGGTAAGCGATTCTTGCATAAGTGCCCGGGAAGAGGCCTCTAGAGGATGTGAGTTTTCAGTCTTCGTGTGGTGGGAAGATAGAGTGCTAGAAGCGTTCCTATAAGTGTTGATTATGCAAACATTAAATTAAAAACGTTAGAACATACCACTTACAAAGAGTCACGTCGTGCGTGTTCCGTATTCTATGGTCGACATCCTGTCTATCAGGAATTCTCTGCACCTAAAACGTAAATGAAAATCAATTAGTTTTAAAAGAAAGCAGAAGAAAGTTGGCAAGGAAACTTGCTCCGCAGCGAATGATGAATACATGATAAAGTATTGCCACCATTTGGTGATAGGTTAAAGAAAAGATTACGGAAATTGTGTTTTTCTGCCTGTTATTTTTCTTGATAGTTCCGTCTTTGAGTAAGATTAATTTGAAAGTAAGGTGGAAAATTAAATTCTCAAAGCTTTGCTCGACTTCCTGCATTACTAAGAGTAATCCAGCGTATGGCAGGCAAGCATACACGTTGAGCAACAAATAGTTTTGATTAGATGTAAGCGACAGATCATGGGTTCAACTCATGTCGGACATACTCCAAATTGCTTTCTTTGAGTATGCCGACTTCCCTTACAGTAAGAAATCATCCCCGTTATCTTCTTATCTCCATAATTGCGCAGAGGAATGACATCATTTTCCAATTCATATTAGTATGCAGAATGTAATCCAATGAACTTTAGTTCAAAGACCCGCCACTCTCTAACAGCTAATGGCAGAGCATCCGAACTACTTATTAGAAGATCCTAAACTCGATTTCCGTAGCGATCACTTGGAATTTCTTTCCAGGATATGGCAGTATACACTATTACTTGACTTTTACAACACCCGTGCTCAGTCAATTTTCTTGTGTTCTCTTGGCAAGTCCACGTAACGGGATAGAAAACTTTCTGGGGTATAAATTTCCTTAAACCATTCTCCATTCTTCCTTAAACCATTCTCATTTTCTTTGGCTAGTGTCCCTATGAAGTTGTCAACATTAACAAATATCCCCCTCCGCAATTTTTTCTGTGATATAATTAGCCTGTCTATTGTTGGACACGTCAACGACTTCCTTAGAAATAACTTATCATACTTTTCTTTTATTTTTTTTTGTACTCTTTATCCCACGCGACAAGACAGGACGAAAAAAAATCTTCTCTACTTCTTTTTCTATTCGCCAAGATTAACTTGTCAAGGAAAATGTTCTCACTGGATACTTCGCTCAAGTCGTGGCTCTTCTTTGTGTCGTATTAGCATGTAGCTTGTCAAGAACTGGTGCGTTTGCGAATAATAGTTGTCCGTCGTTTTTAGAATATTTATGCTGTCTGAAATGGACAGGTGTTATCAGCTGTATCAATATAGTTAAGATAGAGGGTCTCTTACCTAGATACTATCTCATGAGGAAAGTTGCGCAAGAAACGTTGACAAGTATTTTTTGGGTTTTTCGTCTTACTTTATTCCAAATCTTAGTAGGTAAGTTTTCCTTGAGATGTATTATGCTCATTGGTGGAAAAAGTGAGGTTATCGTCATTTTATCGTCGGGTTGTCGTCTTAGGTTATCGTCTCAACGTGAATATTGTTCGATTGAGAGAGGTTCCGCATATTCTACAGCTGTCTACGTATTCAGTCGTTCTTGAAACTGAATTTAACCTCAAAGAAAACTTTCCCCTAAATCTAGGCTTGATGATATGCGATGTACTTTCGTTTAAAAAAGCAACCTTTTTGTAGTAGTTAGAGAAATACATCATCGATATAGATGCAAATTTGCTCTGTTATAAATTTTGCCCAATGTTTAAGCATGCTAATTGCTTAACTTGGCTTGGTTAACTGCACAAGGATCAAGGGAAGTTTATCGAGGCAGGCATTACCATGGAAACTCAGTGAGGCTAGTATCTTTTCTTAAAATACATTTCCAGTTTACTCAAACTAAACGAAAAGAACTGATATGGCTCTAAAAGGATTTTCTCACCTTCTCTGTTTTCAATTAAACCAACTCGAAATTTATGGCACGCAGTAAAATCTTCATTAAGCATTCTGATGGCTTAGTCAAAAGAAAATCATCAGCTTTTTTTAAAAATATATATATATATATATAGAGAGAGAGAGAGAGAGCACCATTGTCTAATGGCTTTAATTGTTAAAGATTTTCCATGTTACGCAAAATCTAAAAGCGAAAGTATCATAATCTATGATGTTTATTTGGCCTAACATTGACTAACATTTCATGAAAGCTCCGTCATACAGAGGAAAAGCGATAGCAAGATTAGCCGCCCATTTTTGCATGTCTGAAATAATTTAGCCGCTTTTTGTGAACGTGTTTCATTGTGAGCATCAATAATGCATGCCACTTCAAGATGAACCAACAATAGAAGAACCTTAATTTCGCAGAACCAGT